GTGCGATTCTTGGCGGTCACGACGAAAATGACGGCCAAGGACTTGGCGAACACGTTTCTGACTCATGTATTCTCGCAGTATGGCTTGCCCGACGCGATCTTGTCCGACCGCGGCAGCAAGTTCACGTCCGAATTCTGGAGGGAGTTTACGAAGGCGTGCGGAATCAAAAGTAGGTTATCGACAGCTTACCATCCTCAGACCGACGGAGCGACCGAACGAGTCAACCAGTCCTTGGAAGCGTATTTGCGCGAATACGTCAATGTTCGCCAGAACGACTGGGTAAAATGGTTGCCTTTGGCAGAATTCGTGTTGAACAACACGACGCACGCCTCGACGAAAATAACTCCATTTTTTGCCACGTTCGGGTATCACCCTCGCTTCGACTTCACCGACGAGGTTGGCGACACCGGGTCCGGACGGTTGGCGGCTGACGAAATGAAAGAGATTTGGGAGGACATGCGGACGTGTTTAGAAGAGGCCGCGGAAAGGGCTGCGATTTACTACAACGCCGGGCGAAGTGGGACCTTTTCGCCCAAAGTGGGGGAGATGGTTTATGTATCCGCACGAGATATCAACACCAAGCGACCAAGCAAGAAAATGGACCACAAACGGTTCGGGCCTTACGAAATCATCGAAGAGATCTCCTCACACGCCTGGCGGGTGAGGTTACCGGCTTCGCTGAAGATACACGACGTATTCCACCTAGATCGTTTGGAACCGCATCGCACAGGCGGAGTCGCGGCGAGGCGTCAGGATCCGGGTCCTGAACCCGAGACCGAGGACGTTTTCGAGGTCAAGTCAATCCTAGATAGTAGGAAACGAGCGGGCAAGGTTCAGTATCGCATCGAGTGGGAAGGGTACGCGGGTCCGGAGGCGACTACGTGGGAGAATGCCGAAGACGTCTTCGCCGCTGATTTGGTCGAGGAGTTCCACGCGCAAAATCCCACGAAGCCGAAGCCTTAAGTCCGAGTACGCGCGTTTGCGGGCGAACGCGCGTGACTACGGACGATCGGACACGAGCTGGACTCAACTCACATTCATTTGAACTACGAACAGCGACGAAACAAAGTCGAAAGAATCACAAGGTATATCTCGCATAAAAAGTATAAAAATACAAAAGAAAGAAAAAAAAAAGAGGCCCCGAACCCGCGTCTCAAGGGTTACCACGACGACGCTTGTTCCTGCCCGAACTCGGCGACGGATCGCGGTCTCGCTTCGATCCCGCCCGGTTCCGAGCGGAAGGCGAAGGCGGCGGCGCAAGACCTTCGACGAGGCGGCACATCACCTCGTACAACGACTGAAGAGCCGTTCGACCGAGGACCCGGTCCTCGTCCAAGGCGCCTTTGACGACGCCGGTCTGGAAGATCTATGGACGAACACGTACGGATGTTAGCGAAGTCCGACGAAGATGAGAAGAATCGAGAGAAGAGTACTAACCAGAGCTTCCCGAGCTTGGGTTCCTCGAAGAGGAGCACCGCGAGTGTGTCCAGCGCGAGGACGATGGGCGGCGTTGAAGGCGGCGGCGGCGGCGGCGGCGTCGCGATCGATCGAAGCCTGACGACCTCGGACGGACTCGAGCGGAGTCTCCTCTCGAGGTCGAGCGTCGTCGGCGTCGTCGTCGTCGGCCACGTTGTCGCGCGAGTCCTTGCCGGCGTACTCACACGTCGAGCCGAATGCGTTGCAGCAGACGCAACCCTGCTTCGTCCCGTTGCGCTTCACCACCGAACGGCATTCCCGAGCCCAGGCCACGTCATCACGCTTCTGGTGGCACCCGGCGCAAGTCGGGTCGTTCCGGACGGTGTCGCCCGGCCTCTCGGACCAGTAGTCGGCCATGCGGAATCGGTTCCACTGTCGAGAGAATTCGGACAAAGTCAGTAGGATTCGCGCGGAGGTGGGCAAAAGTTAGGCTAACCTGTCGGGCCCGGTGCTCGAACCTCTTCACGTCGGACGTGTCGTCCTTGGGCTTGGTCCACGCTGGCCAGCCAGGTCGACCCGCGATGTGTCGGATCTGGTCCCATGTCGTGACCCGATCGTCCCCATCCCATCGAGGTTCGCCTGCGGAGTCGAACCGGTTAGCAAGAATATGAGCGAATACGAGCAGAGAAATACGTACCCGGGAGGAAGCTCCCCAAGAACCCGTCGACTTGCCCGCCTCGTGTTTCCCCGGCGGCCAGGTTCTCGGCGGCGGGGCCAGATCGACCTTCTTCGGCGGCGGAGCGGACGGAGTCGTCACCGAACTGGCGCTGAAGACGGAAGTGTTCCGCTTCTGGAACACCGACTAAAAACACGAAGTCGCACGAAGTCTGAACGAAAGGTACATGTACGAACGAAAAAGAAAGAATACTCACAGTTGGCGGGAGGCCGGGCCGGACCAGCGGCGCGGGATCGAGGGCCAGGAGCGGCCGTACCGAAGGGAGTGAGGCGGTCGTCGAAGGAGAAGACCTCCTTGCTGTCCCTCTCGAAGGACAACGAACGTTGGCGGTCTGAGCGGGAAAAGGCGCACGAATCTGTCAGCAGTCGCGCGGATCCGGGCGAAACGCATAGCTCGCAACTCACCGGATCGCCCGCCGAAGCCGCCACCGAGGTCGAGGTCCGGCCTGGTGGACCTTCCGGATCCTGTGGGAGCGATACGAAGTTGTGAGAACCCGTGCGTATTCAGTGTGCGAGGAAAGAACTTACCCGAGGCCGCGGGAGCGCCTCCCTCCTCCTCGATGATCTCCTCCTTCACCCTCGGAATGAAGGACTTAGACTTGACCTTAAGAGGCGGCGGGAGCACCTCAGGAGCGTTGACGAACTCCCCGGTTTCGTCGTCGACTGAATCCGTACGAATACGTCAGGTTTCTCACGAAGTCAAGAGAGATCGCGCGACTCACGCTCGATCGCCTCCTCGGCGCTGTTCCCCCATCCGAGGCGGGCGAAGCCCTGGGAGAGCTGTCGTTCTGATACGAAATGGAGGGTGAGCACACGAACTCGGTAGACTTCGTCAGAACACGTACCGTTTCGGGCGTCGACGCCCGAAGGAAGAGACGGTCCCGCAGGACCAGAGTTTTCGCCGACGAGGTTGGCGGCGGGGACGGTGGCGGCGGGGGTGGCCTCAACGACCGAGGCGGGGGTCTCGACGACCGGGGTGGTGGCCGGAACCTGGGTTTCGGCAGGAGTGTTGGGAGCAGGCGAGGACATGGTAGGAGTCGGTTGGAGTAGTGCGGTTACGTGCGAGAACGAGCGAGTAGGTTCGATTTGAAGAGAGGAGTTGAAGAAAAGGCGAGAACGAGAAAGAAAGGAGGGAATTCGGTCGAAGACGTTGCAAGTATATACCCTTCGTCAGCAATACCCAACCGTCTCGACCAAAACAATCTCGTTTGGATCCGCGCGAGTACGGCCGTTAGCGCGCGGACGACGACGGCAGGACGAGGAGAGATGCGAGTGAGACATTGGTCGCGCGTTTCAAGAGGATATCGGTTACGCGACTTTGGTTCCGCTCGTTTAGCGCCAAAGGACCCTCACGCGGGAACAGGAGCGGGATATCTGGACGACCGAGTGAGACATCGGTCGTACGTTTCAGGATGGACTCGGTTACGCACGAAGTCTACGCCATTTCCAGAACCCATCAAAGGAAGGTACGGACGACTTGACGACAAGGCATATCGTGCAGGGGAGGATTCGTACGACAAACCCCGGAGCCGGTCGAGGACTGCGGACACCTCGGACATCCTAACCGACAATCACCCTCGAAACAAGGGCCACCGGGACGTCGGGGCGACGTCCAACATAGAGGGGGGGATGATGTCACAGGGCGTGACCGAACGGCAGCATGGGATCGACGCGCATCTAGGTCATCGGCCCGGATCGGGCGACACCCAGCGGATCCGCACGAAGTCAACAAAAGAAAACCGCGACTTCGTGTGTTCGACCGTCTATTGTTCGCCTGAAAGAGTGACCGACGGACGATAGCCTTTTGTTCTCGAACAAAGAAGACAAGCACGAAGTCGGGCGAACTCGGTAAACAATAGCGGATTCGGTGCGAGCAACGCGAGTACGTAGTTAGCATATAACGGAGCGCGAATCGTAGAGAAGTCGTGCGAGTCTGTTGTACTTCTATACGATTCAAGCGCAGTTATTACATTCGACATACGCCTATACCTTAGTTACACTACGGAGACGTACTAGAAGAGGTTACACTATCACCGACGAACTCGCAATCGTTAGTACAGTGTCGCGACTTCACACGAACTCGAGAAAGACCGTGAGACATCGTAGTCACGTGATCCGACTTCGCTTGCATCTAGAAACCTGTGACTCGCCACGTAGTCGCGACGGAAGTAAATACGCGGAAGCAACCCCTTAGACGATTTTCGAGGACGCCCGTAACAGGCATCCATGTCGATCGTGGGGTCGAACTCAGGGAGTTGAACAGAGAACGAATCCCCTGGAATCGATTGTTGAGCGATAACAAGGGGGGAGGGCGGGGGAGAAGCTAATTGAACCTCTTCTTCGGCCTCTTTCTCTGCTTCGTCCCTTATAAAAAGGTCAAGTAGGTCTTCCTCCATACCAGTGTATTGGTTGAGGATGTCGGGGAGCTGATCAATGTCGATTGCCTGGGAAGAGTTCATTGTGATAACGTATCGATTTTGAATACTGATGCAATTGCAAGGGCGTGTTTCTAAGTGATAGATCAATGTGGAATTCGATAGGGGAAGACTTCTAGGCAATTGTACAGAGAACAGATCCAGTGGAATGTTGTACAGTAACATTGTAAGGGTCTTGACGATCAACAGTTGATCGTTGAGACGTTCCAATAGGGGTAACAAAGAGGTTTATTCCCCGAGATCGTTTTCACCGAGCCAGATGCAAGGGAGTATTACCAGGGACTCGTGCATGTGGCTGTTCCTTGGCGTCAAGCCATAGGGAGAGAGTGTTGGTATTTGAAATATAAAGTCGATTGCCGCCAGGCTAGTAATTTTTACCGCCACCAGATGAATTCTTTCCGGATGTAATTGGTAGAGGTCGGAAGTAGATGATGACGAACCCCCCGTGTTGAGCCGGGTGGGGCTCACATCAAGCAATCCTCATCAATTCATCAACCACATCGACCATCAAGCATGTCAGTACCCCATCTCAGTCCCGGTACCATATAACCATCTCTCCATCCCTTCGAACGTGGATATCGGATCCAGACAAAGTCCACAAGGCTGACACCTCTCAACCGTGAAGCACTACCCTCGACAAAAACGACGATGCCCGGCAACAAATCCTCTTGTCCGGAAGGACTCGCCTACTTTTGCATGTCCACCATCGAACATCACCTCGAGTCCCAAAGATCTTCGGGCGAACCTGGACAGCAAGCTAAGCCTCGACTCAGAGATTTCATGGATACTTCGCCGGGGGGCGTTGGGGGCGCAAGTTTCGACTTGAAGCAAGAATCGTAAGCACAACCACATGCACGAACCCCGAACCTCGTCCACCTCCTTTTTTCTTCTACATTATCCTGGTCTGAATCTGCCTTTCCTTGATCTTTCCCTGGAATACAGTCCGTTGTTCGTCACCTGGAACAAACGTTCATACGCCTATACACACGAAGACGCCCCGGGTCCCGAGAACGCCGTTGCGCAAGAGCATGATAATGAGCAAGAGGATGGAGATGATGAGGAGGAAGACGAGGAAGATGTCTCCCTCCGAGGATGTATCGGGACATTCACCGCCTTGCCATTAGAAAAAGGACTCCGGGAGTATGCTATTACCAGGTGAGTCCTATTTCACTTCATTCTTCTTCGATCTTCACCTTCATCATCATCTTTTCCCGACTATGGTAGCACGTTGGGTTCTTTGGTGTTGTTCTGAGTTTTCTGGATAGTTTGCTAACAAAATGGAATGAACGGCTCGGATGGTTTTGTAGTGCGTTTCGGGATACGAGGTTCAGGCCTGTTAAAGCGGAAGAATTGCCTTTCTTGCAGTGCGGGTGAGTATTTGGGCTCTCGGTCTTACTATCTGGAAAAACAGCCTTGCATACATCAGGCTGTTCGTATGATGACAAAGAGAACTCAGCTGACAACGTAACTTCCCGGTTTTTCCTTTTCGACATCTCCTTGAGATCAACAGCGTGTCCCTCCTCACGCCGATGACCCCGGCTCCCAATCCCCTAGCTTGGACCCTAGGAACCCACGGTATCCACATAACCTTCCACCACTCTTCCCGTCGATACTCGGGGACCTACCTTCCCGAAGTTCCCCCTGCTCAAGGTTGGACGAAAGAGGAAACCATCTTGTCCCTAATCAGAAAAGCTGGGTACAGGGGGAAAGTGAACACAGGGGATGACCAAGATGAGGTTTGGGGTGGGATACGGTTGCAGATTTATGAGAGTAGGAAGGTTAAGAGGAATTGGGCGCAGTTTGAGAGGTGGAAGGCGGAGAATGAGAAGTGAGCGGGAGGTCGGTGAGTAGAGCCAGAGATGTCGAATTGGAGCTGTATGGTGGCTGAAATTTGTCTCTGTACAGACAGACCCGGTAGCCGGATGGTGGGTCGAGGATCGAAATGTTCTAAATATACGAGTCGTTATCACGGACCCCAAATTTGTTGTAAGAGTGTTATGATACCGTCGTCGCTAGAACATGCGCAGCGAGTCCCATCCTGCGCTTCGCTTTTGTATCTTCGTTGTACCAGTATCGCCGTGTTCGCTGTTGTCATGCATGTCATATACGCTTCGACCTGTTACTTCGTTCTCTTGTTCTCGGCTATCAGCTTCATGCGTCCGCGGTCTCATTTTAGGCGATTAGATCCCAGCGAACGATTGTTCTGCTGCGAGTTGCTCACCTGTAGCAGCTCTTGGCGATGAAACTCTGTCATCTTCTCGACCATGGCAACGAACCAGGTCGTGATCTTCTTGTGTGATTGAATCTGGTCGCCATGGTTTGCGTTGAGCCATTCACAAGCGGCTTCATTGCGGCAAGGCAAAGAGGTGATCTGTCGAGGTTGTTTGGCTTTCCGCACGCATACCAGCAGCCCGGGTTCGAGTTCACCGAGCTGTATAACCGTCACCAAATTGGTGAGCATCCGAGAAGTCTCTCCCGAATACGTCTCATCCAAAGCCAGTGGCTGGTACTTTAGTGAACTTACTGCTTCACGTATGAGCAGTATCGTAGCTATGTTTTGAACCTAGAGGCAGAATCACCCTCATCCCATGCCAAAGGTTGATATTTACCTGAGAACCAAGGATCTGAAAGGGGAAGAGAGGCATCGAGAGGGTTTTCAATCGTCCGGGGGTCGACTTCGACCTCGCCCCCTCTGGTTAATGCTGTTGTAAGCGCTCGACGTTACGCCACCAGAGGAACATATCAGGACGTCATGTCAAGGGAGAAGCGCCCAGAAGCGACTTGGGAAAGGCGTAATGAAGGGTGAGGAATATATCTGCATATCATGTGTTATGCGCTGTATCTGCCGTCGTTCGTCTTCAGATTGACTACAACTTCGGAGCTTTTTGCGCTTGGCAGCTCTTTGCCGGCTCGCCCGCCTGAAGTCCATCCGCATCGTCGTCGTCTACAACGCCACCATTGGATATGTTTTGACGTCTCGGTGACAGATCTATGCTTGCAGTTTGCTGATCAAGAGCTTGAATCCGGTTTCACACCATAGCCGGTATACGACCCGAATCACAGATCGCCTGTGAATATGAGAACGTAGCCGGCCTCAACCTTGATCAGTGCCGTTCGCCCCTTCTTCACAACTTGACAGTTTACTCGCCCTCGTCCTTCTCCCGCGACATCCCGCCTAGACCCTCCGCTTCTCCACAGGAACCTTGCCCCATCGGATCATCCCCGGAAACTCTCTGCCCGTCCCCTTTCCCTCGGGCCCGGGTGGGAAATATTCATACCCCGCCTTCAAGTAGACAGGCTGACCGGCTTTCGAAGCGTCCAGGTAGATGGGGACGGGATTGTTAGGATTACTTTCGTTGTCCTTGTCGACGATGTTGGAGACGTATTGCAGGAGGGCGGATCCGACGCCTTGGCCTTGAGCGGAGGGCTTTACGCAGAGCGGAGCGAGGAGCCTGGATTAAGTCCACGGTGGAGTGAGGGCGAGTCATGGTATGTCGACGTGTGAGGAGGTCATGGCAATTAGGTTGCAAGAATCAGATATCAGATCTACGAACAGCGATAGAAGAGAGTCGAGGAAGGAAGTTTGGATGGTAAATGAGGACTTACCAATGCTCGACGTCCGGAAGGATCCCCCACCTATATTCATCCCAACCTTTCCACAAGCCTACTCCGTCAAGATCACCACCACAAATGACGACCAAAAAACTCCGTCAGCCCCGACGTCCTCTCGAAATCGAACCATATAACGGCTGACAGAAGAAATGGACTGACCGTTGAAATATTTCCTCTCGACCCCTTCCCAAGCTTCCCGATCCTCCTCCGTCCCCCTCTCATACTCGTCATCATCGACGATCCACGGATGAGGGTCTTTACATCCTTCCGGCCTTAGATACCCCGCCCATCCTACTACCTCCTTATACTTCTTTTTCTCTTTCTTCTCTTGGTTTCCGTTCTCGCTTTGAGCTTCAGTCTCAATTTCGATTTCGGCGACGAGCGTCAAGTACTTGGGATTGGCCAGGACGGCTTTCTGACGGTGGATAGCTCGTGAGAGTCGGATTGATTCGGAAGGCCGGGAGGAGGGGGGTTCGGTGAGGTTGAAGGGGAAGATGACGCTGAATGAGGACCAGAAGATGCGGATCTGAGGTATGGGAAAACATGCAAGGACGGCAGATGTGTTGTTCCGCAAGTCAGCTGTCGTATAGTATTGTAGGACATCTCTTCGAGGTTGCCGGAGTTCGACTTGGGAAGTATATGAGATTCGGGTTGACTCACGATATCCTCCAGATCAGCCTCTGTGGCTTCCCGTACGACGACGTTCAACTTTGGTTTCCCCGCTACTCTGTCCTTCTCGACAGCCTGAGCTGGAGGCGGTTGAACATCAGGAGCTGAGTTGACGAGCTCTTGAGAGCTCATTATCTTGATGTTTGGCGTCCCTTGTGGGTCCTAAGGTCAGTCTGATCGATTTACGATCAAAGGGCGGATCCGGACGGTGTTTTGGTAAAGCGTGCAGTTGTGATTCACGGTCGACGGTCAGGTCGTATTCTCTCGATCCCGATGCGACACAGGACTGACCTGGTCTGACTTGTCGTGCGTGACTGTGTCACTTGCGAATTGAATCTAGCTGTTATACTGACCCTGTTGGTAAGTGAGCTAGAGATCCAGAGATGATGTACGATACAAGATGGATGTGAGCCAAGATGAACCGTTGAGCGATGTTCCACGCGAAACGCTCGGATATACCCGACGACCCAAGTGTCAAGTGTCAAGTGGCAAGTGGCAAGCAGTGTGTAGAAAGCGCTGTTTCAGAACACTCAGGGCATATCGTTCATATCCTTGGTCATCCTTGCACCCCCATCGAAGGAAGGATTGACACTGATGTACATAAACTACCACTCGACGCGCTTGTTACCGCTACAATCAGAAGCTCCGAGAAAGACTTGCTGAGCCACCTCTCGGACTTCTCCTAGTTGCAGAGACGCAAGACCGTTGACTATAGGATAGAGACTCGGGAGATCCTCCCACTTGTGGGGAGTGACCTTGACGGTGCTGTCTTGTAAGGACGCCTCGGTGGTCCGATAAGACAGGACGCTATACGATTCGAGCGAGCCGACACAGAAGATCAGTTCCCTGTCGATCATGCAAATAGCTCCCTGGAGCTTGGGAGGCTTACGTCGGTTTCTTAGATCCACCTCCTGGCATATAAGTAGCGTAAGAGGCGTCATGTTTCCCAGGCTCGCCTACCGCGGGGATGTAGCGGTGGTGAAGCGTTCCCTGTACAGAAGCTACATCCCACGCCAGAAAAAGGGACTTCTTAGACTTGCATTCCTTGCTGCTTCAGGTTGTTTGGACTCACGCATGGTGAAGGGACGTTCCCGGAAAGCAGGGGATTCTTCAACGGGCTTTGAAGCGATCTTGGGGATCTCCATCCTGAGCGAGCCCATCGAGACAACCGGGTCAGGAGGGTTGGCTTGCTAAACGAGTGTGTTTTCGGACTCACCGTAGGAATTCCGTACCGAACCACGACTACGAGATGTGGAGCATCGTCAGGTTGGAGTTTCTTCTTTTCATCTCGATTACAAATTCGGACTTACCGCGGTATGGACGAGCTTGCCATCTTCTTCCTTAGGGTCTGGCAGCTCTGCCCAAACTTTCCTGTAATGTATGACCAGAAGACACCTGTCAAGTCGACTCGAAGAAAGGCAAGACAGGGTGTCGATGACCCACGAGAACCCGAGTTCTTCCCGTCCGGTACTGATCGGGTCAGTAAAAGATTCGAACAAGACGACCATATAGGACGCTCGGATAGGCTCGGGCGAACGCCGGCAGATCACGTCGTTGGCATAGATTCCCCAAGTGTTATAACCTTGAAGTTTGGTACGAAAGACGGGTGAGGCGTTCAGGATGGGTCATACACTGGGAGAGCCTATACTTGCTGCTCACCTCGTCCAGCTAGCCAAGGCAGTTTACGCAAGTTCATGACTTCAAAGAGGATAGTAGGTTGGACATCTTCGGCGATATCGTACCCTTCAGGTAAGAGAGCTTGGAGTTGCGCCCTTTCGACATTGAGGACGATGCCTTGATAGGTATGGTATAAGAGGTTTTTCAGAGCAAGTTCAAAAGAGGAACAAGATGATGGACTGCTCACCGGTAAGATGCATCTCAGAGTTCTCCTTCCATCCATTGAAGGGTTTTCCGTCTGGGCCTTGCCTGCAGCGCGGGAACATCGATGGAGTCAGCGCGAGCTCGCGCGTGGAGGGATAGGTCGAGGGTTACACGTACCGCGGACTGGCAGCAGGGCCGAAGCCAACGGGAGCGCGATGATACAGACCGGTCTTTTCAAAGTTCAACATGTTTGAGATGTCCTGTAGGTAAGATAGCTAGCTTGAAGTGATAGAAACGATGCCGGTGAGCGAAGCTCGAAACTGGCCGGAAAGACACGCTCGATGAGTTTTACCCCTATTATCAATCGACGTGTTTGCTCTCCCGGTCCCGCTTTGCAAAGCGGGGGCATTCATCATCGCTCAGCCTCATGGTCAGCGGATTTCTGATTTCCAGCGGGTTTGCGATAACAGAACGAAGATCCGAGAGCTCCGTACTGATCTTGATGCGACCGTAAATGTCACGGCGACGTACGTAATAAATATCTCATGTGAAACTTCAATTTCGCGAACAGTGAGCGTGATTGTATCCTGTCGTCTGCTAGACACACTCACATCCCCCTTGATTGATCCGCATCAACATTGCTTCCTGCCTTCTCATCATGTCGCCTACCTACTTGAAGAAACCTGCTCCTCTTCCCACGAACGAGACCGGTCACGTGACCGGCCAGATCGACGTCAAGGGGATCGTCTCTTCGGTCATCGACGACGTTCGAAAGAACGGGGACGAGGCCGTCCGCCGGTACTCTGAAAAGTTCGACAAGTGGTCACCGGAATCGTTTCGACTGTCCAAGGAACAGATCGAAGCGATCATCAGCAAGGTGCCTCAGCAGACGATCGATGATATCAAAGAGGTCCAGTCAAACGTCCGAGCCTTTGCGCAGAAGCAAAAGGAGAGCTTGAAAGACTTTGAGGTGGAGATCCGACCGGGTGTGCACCTCGGTCAGAAGAACGTACCTATTGACGCTGTCGGCTGGTAAGCGCGACTTCATCAGTTCGGATCTACCTGGTTTCTCAGCTGATGAAGGTAACCATACCCTTTGATAGTTATATTCCCGGAGGTCGATACCCTTTGCTCGCCTCGGCCCACATGACAATCTTGACTGCGTGAGTTACGCTTACATTTGATAATCTGAATACCTGACAAGCTGACCCGGGCCGTCCGATAATTGCAAAAATAAAGCAAGATCGCGGGTGTCCCCAACGTCATTGCTTGTACCCCGCCTATCAACGGAGAGATCCCCAACGCCACCGTCGCGGCGATGTGAGTCGAATCCCACGCTGATCGAGCCGAGATCTTGAGTGTGATTTGACCTCTAATATTGGTAACTTTCGACTTGTATAGGTACTTTGCCGGAGCCGATGCCATCTACCTGTTGGGAGGTACTCAGGCCATCGCCGCCATGGCCATCGGAACCGAAACTATCCCGAAAGTCAACTTCATTTGCGGCCCAGGTGAGCTTCATCGATGCCTCAGACGCCTTGTTACGCTGTGGTGTGGGAGTGGTGGCTGATGCGGGCAATTTCATACTTTTTCTCAATCAAAGGTAATGCTTTTGTCGCTACCGCCAAAGCTATGCTGTACGGCGAGATCGGGATCGATCTCTTTGCCGGCCCGACTGAGGTCTTAATCGTAGCCGATGAAGACGCTTCCCCGTTCATGTGCGCCGTCGACCTCTTGTCCCAGGCAGAGCACGGTCCCGATACCCCAGCTGTGCTCGTGACCAACTCCGAGCGGGTCGGTAAGGAGACGATCGAGCACGTGGAGAAGATCTTGACTACGACGAATATGTCCACGGCTGGGTTGGCTTCCACCTCGTGGAAAGCTTTCGGAGAGGTCGTCGTTACCGAAACCATCGATGAGGCGTACAAGGTGGCCGACACCTATGCGAGCGAGCACGTTCAGATCCTGACCAAGAGCCCGAGGGATGCTTTGACCAAGATGAGCAACTACGGCGCCTTGTTTTTGGGTGCAAAGACTTGTGTCTCATACGGTGACAAGGTGAGTGAAGATCTATTGAACCGAGTTTATCGCCAAGCCTTCTGTTCGAAAGCTGATGATTGTGGCTGACATGACACGACCTCTCTTTCTCCACTCCAGGTCATCGGAACCAACCATGTCTTGCCTACCAAGGGAGCTGCCCGGTATACAGGAGGGCTTTGCGTTCAAAAGTTCCTCAAGACGTACACTTACCAAGAAATCAAGACCGAAGAAGCGTCGGGGGCTCTGGGCAGACTCTGCGGCAGGGCCGCTAGAGCGGAAAACTTCGAAGGACACGCCAGATCGGGTGATCTCCGAGCTTCGCTGTTTGCCAAAGATCAGATCGATTGGATCTATACTAGAGAATGAGGTTCTTGTTGTAGCATGGCATAACACGCCCTCTCTGCTGCCTGATGGCCATTACTGATGCCGGATGATCACAGAAGGATTACTTGATACGAGGCGTTTGATCGAAAGCCATACTTCTAACGCGTTCCTGAAAAGTGAAACACGGACATCGATCATTCTGCCAACACCGCTCGCGTATGCATGTCTCGGATCTATCCGGTCCCGGGCTGTCGGGCGCCGTTGATCATCAATCGATGATCGCTTGATTGACAGATGGATCGATGAATTGATCAATTGATCATCTTTTGATCAGATGATGAATTGATGAAACAGGTACAACGAAATAGAATGATCAGGAGGATCTCAGTCGAAAGTTCGATCAGGTCAAGTTTCTAAAGGATCAGCCAGATATTTGCACATTCTACAAAGCCACAGACCCAGGCTTACGAGATGCAAGTAGGCAGTGTAGAGAACAACGGCAGCTTGTTCGGGCCGACCGAACCCCTCTCGTTCACTCGACCGACCGGGACCGCCTTGCGTAAGAACAAGACGATCCAGAGCTGTACGGCATGCAGGAAGAGAAAGAACAAGGTAAACCCATCACCCCTACTTCGTACACTTTGACGGTACAAGCCGAGTCCTGTGGGAGTCAGTCCAGTTGGGTCGTGGAGCTGATTCACCTATGCCCAATTCTTCGAGAGAATAGTGTGATCGAGTGTTCCCCTGTGGAGCTTGTAAGGTAAGGAACGAGGCACATCTCTGCGTCGAACATGTCAAAGAACCTCTTAACAGACCCACGTAAGTCCATCTTGGCTCCAGCTTTGATCTGCTCGCCTCTTCCCACCTTACCGTCGTCTTCCTCTAACATGTCACAACGTCTGCTTACCATCTTGTCTTATCGTCTTGCGACTGCGATACACGCTTACTCCCTGTCTGTACGAAGAGGTTACACCCACGTATCCGACACGTCTATCCTGTCAAATCGTATCGTCCAGCTTGAACTCGTCATCTCCAGGCTTCTCAAGCGGGTAGATGACCCAGTCGTATACACGGACTTGTTACACCATTTTGAAGGGCCATTACCGATATTCCGTCCCAATGATAGTGTTGGAGGACAAGGTTCAGGGTCGGGAGACACCAAGAACAACGAACAGAATAACAGATCGAGATCGGACGATAACAAAGCTGGAACGCACGTCAGGTTCGATCGTTCGCGGCACGATTCTAGGTCGGACACGGAGCAGGAGCAGGATGAAGGGCCTGGCTTCGTATCAGAGGCTGGGGTCAATTACGGCTACGGTCAGGGGATGGAGCGGAATTTGGAAGCGATGTTGCAAGATCAGGGGGTGCCCGGTCCAGGGGAAATCTTGATTATGGCACGCCGCACAGTACCGAGTCAAGCGAATACCACAGGGCATGATAATCATCAAGATCACAATAGGCAAGGAACTTCGCTTATGCAGCCGCTTCCATTGAAGGATAGTCAAGCTGATGGTATCGTTGAGTGAGTCTCCCTACTTCTCTCTCCCTACTTGATTCAGAACCCTTTCATTCCTCTATTGCGATCATCCTGACATGCGGCTATCTGTCCAAAATTGCAATATGCTATTTCCAGTTGGTCCTCGACGCTGGATATCGATTACAACATGGACCCGAATCTATCTTATCAGCCAGGAAAGTCCGTCTTCCCTAGCCCGCTAGATACGTACGGACCTCTGGACCCGTCCTTGACGCTCCCACTCCGGGGTGGTCTTGATCAGACAGAAGAAAATGGACGTCTGATTCGGACCGAGAACCCCGGGAGTACGATTGAGCCAGTACCTCGACCATTTTCCGCCGTACAGCGTCCTGCCTCACCGCAGCCTGACACGCATTACGCCCTGCAGTCTCAAAGTCGGGATGTCATAAGCAGAGCTCCAAGTGAGAACATGCACATGGCAGCGCTGGCTCTGGAAGACATAGCCTTTGGTCGGACAGTGAACACTCATCGCGAAATCGGGTCGACTGGTGGTCACCTCAATCATGGTGAGCTTAGAAACGAGCTTCGGCACGGGGACACCACGAGAGCTAAAGCTTGGCCTATCCCTAACAGATCACCAGGACGATCGGATGGACGAGCAGGACCAGATCCTCGCCGACGGTTCTGCGCGAGAACGCGATACGCCTCGCAGTCAAACACGTTCAGCACACCAAGAGCGAGATTTTGGATCACCGCAACGACAAAAGCAGACACGACCGGCCCATAAGCCGCCGCGTGTTGGTCCTCTGAAATCCCTCGATACGATCGATCTCCTACCTCGACCAGTAATTGCGGATTACATCATTCAAACATATGTAAGTCCCGCGAGGCAAAGCCTTCGAGCTTCCCTTCAGTGATGCTCAAAGCAGACTCATTGTGCTGTTCGACTTGACCCACGTTGACACATAGCTGGATGAGTGAGTCATATTTGCAGCGACTCAAGTTCATACCGTTATCGATGGCTGACAAAACTTGAAATGGGCTTGATCAAACGATCTGTCCAGCGGAGAATATGCGTGAGTATTTGTAACAGTCGACTCTTCATCTTTGATCGTTCGACGTAGTTCTACTCGTTACCATTACTGTCACTGATGAGCGGTATCAACGATCCAGCACCAAGTGCCTGCATCGACCGACGTTCGAGGCTGATTACAAAGCGGTCCGTCCGAAACTTTCTCGGCGAGAGCAATTCTCGCACTCGGACCTTGCCTTTATCGCTCTTTACGCCGCATGTCTTTGCACTGGCGTGCAATTCCTGTCGGATGACGCATACCGAGATTTAGGATGGGATAGGTCCGATGGAGTGGATCTCGCTCAACGGTCCTGGCAAGTGGTCCGTAGCGCGTTAGAAGCGTCAGACTGGATGCGGATACACAGCATTCATGCCGTGCAGGCAATCATGTTAGTTTCAAGCTAGTCTGGACTGATAGCAAGCGAGGAGTCGATCGCGCTGAATGAGCTTTGGACTGCTTATTTGCGTCAGCGTGTCTGGCCAATTTCTAGCATCCACCGGACGTCAAGAGGAGCATTGGACCATGCTGGGAGTGGCCAACAAGATAGCCTTCTCATTGGGACTGAACAAGCTCGGCTCAGAACAACCATGCCTTTCGCCGACGGGAACGCCTTTGGGTCTCATGCAATCTGCTGTGGAGCGCTACCCGCATCTCGTGGATCGAGAGATCGGAAGGCGGGTGTGGCTTCATCTCGTATGTCTGTCCTCTGCGATAATAGTGACCATCCGCTACTTGCTGATTGCGATCTCTACTCGTCTAGCTTGACGCGGATTGGCTATTCGCCATGGAGCATGGCTACAATTATAACATCAGCGATGAGATCAATCAGTCAGCGTTGCCAGCGAATGTGAACGATAGCGATCTACGTAACGATCGGCCATTGGTCCCAGCTCCGAGAGAAACACATACAGTATGTGCCGTTCAATGCACGTCGATTAGTCTTGACTCATCGATGTTGATCACAAAAAACAGGAGATCTCTTACGTCCTGCTTAAATTCGAGATGATACAGCCACTACAAGACTTGATTCATCAAGTGAACCGATGTGGCCGGTTGCGATACGACTTCATCAGGCAGCAAGTCCGATCGTTCATGAGGCCCGCTGATGACGAAACTTGTACTTATGGGAAGATTGATGGTCCGCAGGGCGAACGAAAGGCTTCTTCAGATCATAGAAGCGAGACCAAAATGGTGCAAGGAAGACGTGCCTTGCTCGGACGCAGAAGAGTTGGTTGCTATGTGAGCAGCGAACGCTTCTTGACCTTGATCTCGAGCACAATTGACCCGAACTTTCACATCCAGTCGACGATCTGCATCCAGTATAGAAAACGCTACACATCTCCGCAAGCTTCGGATACATCGACCATACTTTACGGAATCTTGCCGCGAACCGTTCGTCCAGGCTGTGAAGGCAGTACCAGATCTAGTTTCGATGCTGATCCCATCACGATTCAGTCGATATCTACTCACCAAACATGCGTGTATCACGAGCGCGACCGCTCTGATCAACAATGCTAGCAGTCACTCAGCGGGCACACGATACTGGGCCGAAATTTATGGAGTATTGACAGCTACCATTCTCTTTGTGACATACATGACCCGCGCGCCCTGGCAAGAACTGCCGGAAGTCAAAGAGGGCATTGAGAAAGGTTTGAAGCGGATAATGTGAGTTTGCTGAGCACCTGGAGGGTCTAGGTCTTGTCGGCTGACTCGTTGTACGTTCCTGTTCATGCTAGGGATGCGTCTGATCATCTGGATGTCGGACTCGGGGCTGCAGCATTAGCTCTTCGCGCATATTTCGACGAGCTCTGTCATAGAAGATGTTCTTCGGATCAGACACGCAAGCGAGGGTCTGATGAGGGGCCTTTAGAAGGCGAACCCATGGCTAGCCGGCGAAGACTGGGACAGGTGAGTTTGATCTCCCATCGAGACAGAAGCGATGGACAGTAATGACGTGATGTACCTATTTCCTTACCGATGGTAGGAGCCGACAACCTTGAACAACGAATTGGAGGAAACAAACTACGACATGGGGCTTCAGTTTCCACTGGACTTCGAGCAGCTCTTTCAGGCAATGTTCGATGATGGTACAGAATTTTGTAGCCAGACCGAGCTCATGGAGATGCTGAACTCGGCGGTGTAAGACGCGATTTTTAGGTGAATCGCCTGGATTGTACAGAAAATTTAGCTACAACATGCGAGCAACCCATTACGACAGATAACTCGAGCAAGGAGAATGAGCTCGAACAGTCTCTGGATGCTTCATACAACGTTCTTCTTGGGATACAACTCCGGCATTTGACCGGTCTCAATTCTCGCTTTCTCCAAGTAGCCCTTGTTGAGGAAGTAGCCGAGCAGAGGGGTTTTATCGAAAACCCAGTCCCGTACCGTAGCGAGGGGTTCGGGTACCATGTGAAACACCTTGGTGAGCGTCTGAGCAAACTCGACGTTGTGGTAGACGTATTCGAGACGTTGCTCCTCGAACTTTTCGTAGCACATCGAGATGGCTTTGCCGTCTCCAAGATCGATACCGTCTAGCCACTTGGCGAGATAATAGCCGTCCTCGATAGCCATCCCCATACCGTACCCAGCGTACGGTGACACCGGGTGCACCGCATCTCCGATACACATGACACGACCCTTGTGCCAGGTAGGCAGTCGAGGACGATTGTAGATTTCCCAGCGGAAACATTGCGTCCTGAAGTCGGTCCGATCGGGGAACTCTTGCATAGGGAATGCAAACTGCTCGAGGATCCCGGTGACGTGCGTCTTAGGATCCTCTGGGACCGGCGCCGTGGGGGACGATCTTTCCATGACCCACCACTCGAAACCGGGTTTCCCTTCGTGGAGCATGGGGAAGAAGCTCGCTTGGTGAAACTTTGAATGCGAGACGTATCCCCAATTGGCAGGGATGCCTTCAAAGTAATCGCAATACGCGAGCCACAGGCGCAGACCGGTATGGAAGAGCTGCGGGTCGCCGAACAGCTGGTATGATACCTTCGACCTGATGCCATCGGCGCCGACGAGGATATCCGTCCGATGCCTTTCTCCATTAGTAAAGACCAGATCAACACCCTTGTCGTCCTCGACAAAGTGGTCCAACTCGTAATTGACCTGAATGATCCCGTCAGGGATCAACGTCAAGAGGTTCTTGATGACGGACGATCGAAGGACTCCATAATTCCACCCCTTGATCCCCGTACGCTCCTCGACAAGGGGGTGGAACGGCTGACGCGTACGGGCCATCCCGTATTGGTTTTGAAAATCGACATTCGTGACGCCGCCGTCAGCCAAGCTCATATCGAAACCATAGTGTTTCAGGATGAGCAGCACCGGCGTGTTAAGCAAGACGGCTCCCCCGATCGGCTTGCAAGCGGATTGCTTCTCGTAGATTCGCACGTCGAAGCCGCACTTAATGAACGCCAAAGCAGCCGAGATCCCTCCTGGACCGCCGCCGATGATGGCGACCCTCTTGCCAGCTCTCCAGCGGGATTGAGTTTCGTTGGTACTCATTTGAAAGGGATCGAGCGTCGAAACGGGAATAGTCCGGATCGTAGATGGGATTGTGGTTGTGCTTGGCGCGCGTGTTACGTGCAGAGATGGGTCTGTTTCAGCTTCTCGCCAACCGATATCGATTATCAAGCTGGGTAAGATTGCACATGCTATATACCAACTTTCTAGCATCACTCTGAGCAGCCTTGCATCGGAGTACGGACGTTACCATAGCGATTCGCCCCGCTGAACAAGTTTCGGGACCCGAACGATATGTGGGAAAGTCCCGGGCCCCGCGTCAGCATTGGCAATTCACTACAGTACTTAGACTGACGCTTGCACGTGATTCTTCAGCGTCTGACGATTGCAGATGCGGGGAATGAGCAGAGGCTCAGTCAAGGTGTTATACGCAGTCAGTGATGTATGGTATCGCGATGACAAATGTGAGCGCAACAGAGAGTTTGGAGTGAAACAAGTTCTTGTCTCGACGTCAGTAGCATTGAAGCCTTTGCGCCTGAGTCAACGCGCTTGAGCCACGGTGAGATCACGAAAAGCCCTTGCTTAATGACAAGTTCGAACCGACAAGATCGCAATGCAAGTTCGATCTCACTTGGCACTTGGGAGCAGCCCACATCACTCTGTTGCTTGTCATGTCCATCCCAAACTCGTAATTACAACGGCAATACATGAGGTCCCCCGTAAGGGAAGGAAATCGCTCGAGACTGCGTGAAGCTTCTGAGACCCTCTGCCCCGTTGAATCGCCCAAACCCGGTATCCTTGAAGCCCCTACATCACAAGTCATCGAGACAGATCAGACTCAGTCCGCTTCGTGACGATGGGTATATATGCACTCACCCGAATACCACGGTAGGATCATCCCCTACGGTCCCCGCATTGATACGAATCATTCCGGTTTCCAGTCGCCTGGCGATCTTGAGGGCACGGCCGATGTCCTTCGAAAAGATACTGGCTGCCAAGCCGTAGCTACTGTCATTCGCCGCGAGGACGAGAGCATCGTCGATAGAGGCCTCCCCGTTGCCTTTCGGCTGGACTGAAGCCACGATGGCGAGCGGACCGAATGTCTCTTCTTTCCAGATCGTCATGTCCCGAGTGACGTCGCCAAGAATAGTGATAGGATACTTGGCTTGATCTAGCACACCGCCGAGATTACCTGGAGTTGATGTACCACCCAACAAGACCTTGGCACCCTTTCGTACAGCTTCGTCGACCATGCCATTTAAGCGATGGGCCGAAGCGCTGGAATACAGGGCCTCGTGGAAATCTTGACTGAATCGATCAGACTTGCTGGCTGCCTCCTGAAGCGCGGCTGTGAACTGCTCCACCAGGTGATCCGGCACAAGGATGCGCTCGGTTGACATGCAGATCTGACCGGCGTTCAAAGTCGAGTGGAAGAGGACTATGGCGAGGTGGAATATCCTCGGTAAGCTCAGGAAAGTCAAGTCAAAGTAGCCCAAGAGCTCACCATTATTCGCTGCAACTGACAAATCAGCATCTGGCAGGATGATGACAGGTGCTTTGCCTCCAAGCTGAACGTAACACATGAATAGCGCAGATCATCTTAGACACGTACGGCCTCTGAAAACGACAGGATTCGCAAAGACTCACTTCGAGGATACAAGGCTTGAGGTTCTGACCCGACATGCGACCGATATGCCTGCCAACAGCGGAGCTTCCGGTCTGAACCGTGACGAAAGTAGACACTCAATTGATTTTGCTTGCAGATCGAGAAAGGCGCATCCCCAAGACTCACAAAATTGACATGCCTCACCCGGTCGTCCTCGATCAACTGCTTGGTGATGCCCGGAGCCCTGTCGCGGTCTGCGTGGACGATGTTCAGACATCCCGCTGGCAAGCCGGCGTCGGCGAAAAGTTGTCCCCATAGGTAATGAGTGTGGGGGACAACTTCGGAGCTCCGCAGGATGACCGTGTTGCCCGCCGCGATAGGAGTCGCGATGCTTCGGATGGATAAGATCATCGCTGCATTCCACGGAGCAATGGCGAGACAAACACCGTACGGTTCTCGAGTCACGAGAGTGCATACATCGTTGCCTACACAGAGCACGAGCATCATACGGTATTGTAAGCTTCAAATCGTGAAATGTAGTACGATCTGTCTTACCGTCAGCAGTGCGGGGTAGCTCCCCTGCCAGAGCGCTAGAGATAAGGTGCGCAATCTCTTCGATCATCGAGATGCTGGTGCGCACGTTGAATTCGGCGAAGTGATGAGACACGTCCATCTCGCGTCTCCAGGTGCGTACGAATTCGTCTGCGCGCTCCTCAAGCAGTTTGGCAGCTCTCAACAAGACCTTGCGGCGTAGTCCAGAGGTAGTGTTTCGCCAATGTTGACAAGCTTCGTGAGACGCAACGATAGCGTTTTCTACATCTTGTTCTGAAGCGTTCGACACTTCGTGAACGAGATCGCCGCTATTGGGATGGTGAAGGATCGTAGAGTCGATCGAACGATGCGGTTTGTTGGCAATCCAGTGAGGAACTATGGAGCTTGACATGTTGGTGCGCGTCTGGAGGTCGATGGTCCTCGGCAACAGCGTCCCATACCCTCCTGGACTATCGGCGTAGGTGTCCGAGCTTTTTGACAACGTAGCTGATAGGACGGGCTCGTGCTCTTGCCTCTCCAGAAGAGCTCGACGCAATGCTCATTTCCGGCGTTGCGCGATCGCGGAGTGACCAATACATACCAAAGAGGCCCCGCGCCGGGATCTTTTTGCAGGCCCATGGGGTATATATGCAACTTGAAACGGATTGACTGTTTGTCGCTTTCTGCAAGAGGGGGTCACCACAACCAGCAACCAGCGATCCCAACATGTCCAATTCTCACGAAGAGCCTCGAGAAGAGAAGGCTGAGATCGAGCACGTCGACCATCCGACCGATGTGGTTCAAGATGACGCCTTCTATGAAGGGGTTCCTGAACCTACCTTGACTCTCAAGGTTTATCTGGCAATGAGCGTGAGTGCGCTGACCCGGGACGCGCTCCATGTGGTTGACGCATGCGCTGAGCATTTTCCTCTCGAACATGTTGTGCGATGGCATCACAGGCCATTGTCGTTCTCAACTTTGCTCAGCTCTTCTGGTGCGTATGGCCGATATAGGCAAAAACAGTCTTGCCACAATGACTGATTGGCTGACTTTCCGCATGTGTCGTACAGTCTGCTTGGATTGAACGCTGTAAGCGCGCATCGGCCCTGTTCCAGCCAATCGGAGCGTCACGCATGCTCATCAGCTGTACTGTATGGCCACCACTGCTTCACAGAACGGTCGATTTATCGCGGCCATCGTCGGCGGCGCCGACAAGACCATCTGGTTGGGACAGTCGGTTGCCACTGGGACGGCTGTCCTGAGTCCAATCTTTGCCAAGGCGAGTGACCTATGGGGCCGACGATGGATCTTGGTAATCGCCATGACATTCGGGGCGATCGGAAGTATCATCATCTCGAGGTGTACCAGCATGAACATGGCGATTGTCGGCTCCTCCATCGCTGGAGTCTCGTACGGAGTTCAGGTAAAGCCATACCCACATCTTTGCCGCACGCTGTCATGATATTGACTTGTTCCCACCCGCATATATGTTCCCATTTTGGCTTTGCAGCCACTTCTTTTCGCCGTCCCAGCCGAGATCGTACCTCGTAAACATAGGAGCGCAGCAATCGCCTTGGCCAACATCGTACGTGACCTCCCCAGCGTGGGCGCGAGTCTTCGCTCTCGAACCTCCGAACTTGAACTGTCCATTGATTCTCCTTTGCTCCTTGTTCACTCGACGCGTACCGACAGGCGGCTGGGTTGGGCGGTATTTGCGGTATCCTCATCGGAGGCGCTCTGACCGAAGGGGGAAATGCAGACAATATCAGGATCGTAAGTCAGAGGTCTGTTCGGGTCGGACGATGGTCTAACCCTAACTCACTCATAATGTCTGTGCGGTCCAGTACTTCTATATCACCGTGAGTTTCTCTCAGAGACATGCCGTTATCACTAGCGATCGCCGAGAATAGTTTGATTGACAGCGTATATCGCGTTCTTGTTTTCGGATCCCTCTCACGTTCCATGAAACAGACTGGACTGTTCGCCTTTGCCGCCATTACGACGTTCTTGACGTACCACCCTCCAGTCAGATCGAGCCAAATTCAAGGTAGCATCACAGCAAAGCTTCGTATGGTGAGTCCAAATTTTGGATTCTCGTCGCCGACGTCAAGCCGATGCCCTCGAGGGATGGGCAAGAAGTCAACCCTTCTCGACTGTGGCCGCGGCTGATCGCGATCGCCTCTTTTTCCTGGTTCTTATGGATGCGAGGATGTAGATGGACTGGACCGGATATACCTTGTTCGGCATCTTCCTGGTCTTGTTGAACATCAGCCTCTCCTGGGCTGATAACCCATGTAAGTCATCCGGTAACCAGACTCCGTCCCTTAGGGTAACACACACTCTCGTATCCTGAAAACTCAACTTCGTGCGCTTGATCTTCTATTGTACTGTAGACCCATGGGACTCCGCACACGTGCTTGCCCCGCTCTGCATATCGATCGCTTTCGGACTGGCTCTCATCGCGCAGCAGGTCAAGTTCAACAGACACGATAGCATGTTCGATCGACGCTTGTTCTCGTGAGTCTTTGATTCTTGCTTCTGGTTCGATCCGGACCGCGACCTTCTTCTAGACCGTCTTACTGATGCGATGTGACTGTTATTGACTTCCGTAGGACGTCGAGGAACGCGGCCCTAGGTATCCTCTTGATCTGGGTCGACGGTCTCGTCTTCTTCGTAGCCAGCTCCTACCTCCCTCAACTCCTCTCAGTCGTCTACGAGCCCAACGAGATGCTGGTCTCCGTCCGGTTCTCCTTCCTCTTCCTAGGCTCGCTACCGCTTATGGTCCTGGTCGGCTGGTACGCGGGGAGATTCCGAGACCTACGAACCCCAGGGGCAGTAGGTTTCATCGGGTTCACCATCTTCGGAGCTTGTCTTGCTGCAGCTACGGTCGATCAGAACGATGCCATCTGGGGGTATACCGTCTTTGCCTGTCTGGGTCAAGCGGGGACTCTGATCGCGGTCTTTGCTGCGGCTCAGTTCGGCTCTCCTGCGGAACTCATCGCCGACCTGACGGCCCTGTTGATCTCTATGCGATCGTTCGGAGGATCCGTCGGTTTGGGAGTCTGTTCGGCCATCTTCAGCTCGGAGAGTGGGAAGAAGATCGGACCGTCTGTCGCGAAGAGGGTCTTGCCCCTGGGGTTCCCGGTGACGAGCCTCGGACCGTTCATCGGCGCCGTCAGCAGTTTTCACTTCGACCAACTAGCTTCTATCCCCGGTATCTCCCCTCAGATCATCCAACAAGGCGTCCTCGGATTCAAGGAAGGTTTCTTGCAAGCTCAACGCGGGCTCTGGATCCTTATGGCCGCGCTCGCGTTCGTCGCCGCCGTGATCTTTGTGTTCATCTCGAACCACAAGGAAGAGTATTCCGACAGTATCGATGCTCCTTTAGCAGTCCGAGAGGAAGAAGCTGTTGGGGCGAAGACCTCGGCCTAGATAGAGGCCCGAGCGAAGGAGAAAAGGGATGGGTCGTTTGCGTTCTTGCGGTCGTCCCAGGGTCCTTTATCGCGATGCCTGTCGGAAGAATGATCCGTCCGAGATTTCTAAGTTGTAGTGAGACCGACACCGATACGTCCTGTGCTTTGTATATAGTCAAGTGTTCAGAAGAAAGGCTGTCTCGAGTGTTGAACAGTTGTAGTATCGAACTCGGAAGATGAAAGAAATGCGACGAGCAGGTAGAGGCAGTACTCGTAGTGAGTACCTCGAACGAGTGAGGTCGACGCGTTCGCGGTCACGTGATCGCTAGCAGCTCTCGCTAGATTGATCTCGTTGACAGGGATTGAATGATTGATTGATGCGCTTCGATTTACGACTCGATCACAGCGCACAGATCAATCAGGCATTCAAACTTGTTGGTGATAATATCCAGTACAAAAAACGCGAAACCAGGTCGTCCTTGATTCTTGATCACATCGTAGTGATAATATGTACAACTCTCCTCCTAACAATGGGATTGCGCGGGTAAAGAAGGCAGCGAGCTTGCCTCCTTCACCACTGTCCACCTGTTTGATATTTGAAGATCCCATCCGTCATCTTCCCAATGGTTCCTCTCCAAACATAGTTTCCCGCCTTTTTTTTCCGGGGGGGATATGTGTCGATACAAAGAACAGAGAAGTAGGGGTATACCGGTATAAGCGATCTCATCTCCATTTCGTTCAAATGCTCCCACAATCGCAAATACCCTCCTCTACCAGAACTTCGCTTAAGCGACTTACCGAAACGATGCCTACTCCACTAAACATGAAACAGAGGAAGACGAACTCCCCCGTATTCTGCCCTAACGGTCTATCCTCAGCTCTGATGTTCCTCTGTACTTCCCGATAATCCGGCATCCCCCGTCTGAGGTTCGGCCACCAAACAGGATTCTCCGTCCTCTGTCCGGGAAGGGGTACAGCGGGGGACTCTTCAAGGGGTACAGTACTGATCCTAGCGTCCCTATCGATATGGGAAGATGGTCTGGATTGGTCGTCGGCGCCGATGAGATGCAGGGCGTGTTGTACGGTCGGAGGGATACCGCCTTCGGAAGCTGTCAAGAGGGTGTTCTGGGTGCTGGTCTGAGACATCTTCGAGGTCGAGGCCAGGGGATCGAGATAGGTACTCTTCGAATGTAATGGATGGGTGTGATGATGGTACAACAATGTCGCCAAATGAGGCGAGCCTTCAGCTTCAATTCGTAGGGGTCAGGGGTCAGTGGCAGGTAGCACGATGGCTCATGGCCGGTGAACTGATACGTTCCGCCACCCTATGGCCTGGAAATCGGAAGGCCGGACCACCTAGCGCGTTTTACGTAAAGAAGTATCTCTGTCGACGTTCCAGCGTTCCAGGCTGTCCCACCACGGTCACGGAACGATACAAAACGCCAGACATGGGTTTTGCTGGTCGCGCGCGTTCACTCTCTCTCTCTCTCTACTCGAGTATATTCAAGTTCGACTATTGTATCGAAACTCCCCTTTCTGCCGCCTCCAATTTGCCCACCGCCATATCAACCTGGCAAGGATGGTACAGTCTACCAGAACCTCTTCGGCGACGCTCCCATGTTTCTTCTTCTCGCACGGATCTACCGCCATGTTGGGCGAACGATCAGCTCCGGCCGCTTACTGGGAACAAGTCGGGCGCCAAGCTTTGGCCGAAGGTGTCGAGAGGATCGTCATCATGGGCGCCCATTGGGAATCCCTAGACGACCAGATCATGATCTCGGCGAACCCCAAGCCTGAGAAACAGCCCGTCGCATGGCAAGTAGAGATACAAATATCGTACAAGGCGTGACCGGATGGGCAGCTAATAAAGGAAAGATCTGCGTGATAGGGTCGACCCGGCGAAATACGTCGATTTCGACTTGAATCCCGACGTAGAGTTCGCATCGACCGTTCAACAGATGTTGCTCAAGGCCGGGTTCAACGCCAAGCTAGAGCCCAAGTTTGAGCAGATCCACGATACATTGTAAGTAACGATCCCCCTTGCGACTCGTATGTATACTGTATAACGCATCGGCTCATCCGACGGACACTTCATTCTCGTAATGTACTTCATGCAACGCAACGGCGCAGCATGATTCTCAAATGGATGTTCCCCGGTGGCAAATCGCTTCCGCACGTAGTCGTAGGACATAACGCGAGGTTCGATCCGGTAAGTCGGAGGGCTGTCTCTATAATCACCTCTGGTACTGCAGCTCACTTTGACTCTGGCTCTTGATCTTTTCTAGCACTTCCATATGAGGGTCGGAGCAGCACTGAGACCGTTGAGAGACCAAAAATGTCTCCTCATCGGATCAGGTGAGAGAGGCTTCATCGTATCTTCCTAACGCTAGACGTGATACCTAATAACCAGCAACTTTGATCTTGACTTAGGCGGAGCGGTTCACAACCTGTATCGGAATGCATGGGCTCAGGCGCTATTCTACCGAGACTCTTATGGTCAAGAGCGTCCTCCTGAGCCCTGGGCGATCGATTTCGGCAACGCGTTCAGCGACGTGGTCACCAAGAACTCTGGACACGCGCTTCGAAGAGGGATGGCCAGGCTGATGACCCATCCACTTTATCGTGATGCGGTAGGGCACAAGTAGGAGCTTTCCGAGGACATGGACTGGGGACTGATCTAGAAAGTGGAATCTTTCGGTCTTCACAGCAAGGGACCGACGATCACTTTATGAGCGCCTTGTTCATTGCGGGAGCGGCGGGGGACGAAGCGGATGCTGGGATTCGAAACTATGCCGGAGCCGAATGTTGGGAGCTCTTGAACATGCGAAACGTCAGTCGTCGAGATCAGCAGTTCTTTTCACTGCGACTCACACCTTCTTTTGACGTTTCCAGTCTCAATTTCAGTTTGGAAGTTGGCCCAGCGAACCTCACGTGACCCCGGTTTATCAAGAGAACCGTCTCAACCATACCACACCTTTGTAACGATACTCGTCAGGCCACATCCTTATTCTTGTCTATCGGAATTACTCCTGACGGCACTTGTACAACTCTATCGATTCCAAATTCAATTCTTCGTCACACCGTACCAGATCAAGCCTGCGATCGCTCCGCTCAGAACCGAAACGGGAGGGGGCAGGTGATACCACTGCGTCGCCGCGAAACTCGCACCCGCTACGACGCCCCACCAAGGATCCACAGTGAGGGCACCGCTCACCGTCGACGTCGTCGTTCCTTCGGCCGACGTGTAGATGTGTCCGACTATGGATTGATGATGTGCATGTCAGATCGACCGAAGCTTTTCCAGATACCGTGCACGATCCGAGCTCACCCAAGAACAACTGCCAGACCGCCGTATAGATCAACCCCACCGCAGCCGCATTGAGCCCCCTCAAGGCGCTCTTGGCGATGGCATACTCTCGCCAGTCCTTGTACAATGGCAATAATGCCAGCTTGAGCAGTATCCCCGGCGCAAAGATCCCAATGTACCCCAGAAGTGCGCCTAGGACCGGGTTCCATGGTACGGCGAGCACGCCGAGGTACGCCGCGAAAGCAAAGTTGGGTCCGGGGAACGCTTGCAGGATGGCGAACCCGAGGCTAGACCAGCATAGTTTCAGCGGTTCTCTATCAGCTCAGAGAGGCCTGGTCATCTCAATCGCGCGTAGACTCACAGGAAATCACGCGAATTGACCTGTGTATCCAATGGGAAGGCATGCGAGCGAGCGAATCGGTTATTATATGATCTCCACCTCCGACGAAAGTACCGGTTCGCTCACCCAACCGGGGTCTACCGTATATCCACGCAAGAGCGGAATGACGACGGGTCCTCCACCGCAGATGATGGTCCCCGCGATGAGCATACTGTACCCGCCAAAAACCATTTACCCCGAATCAGCTTTCTACGAAAAACCTCTCGCTTGCCTTTCAAATATGATGTTCTCGCACTCACTTGGTAAACAAGCTCATCTCCCGACTAGGCTGGCTCAAAGTGGTCTTGAGCACCACGAACGTAACGACGAGCGTGACGAACAGGACAAAGATGGCCGCCGCCGTTTTCGCCGGCAACGTATGGATCTCCTCGTTGACCTGTACTTCTGCGGGTTGTTGATCTTGCTGCAAGTCAGCGGTGGTAGGGAAAGCTCCGTCCTGCTTTTCTTGTCGCTTCTGTGTCTGTCTTTGCCTGACACCTTGTCCCCGCGCTTGCGCTTGTCTCTCGACATCCACGTCGACGCCGGTATCACCACCGGTCCCTTTGAAAGGTAACGGCAAAATTTCCATGGGCATATCGTACTTGCCATCCCCTGGACTATGATAGTCCCTATACTTGGCCGGTTCAGGCTGTTCCAGATCCTTCCCGTGCGGAACCTCGAGCCTGGAGACGACCGGCATGATGGTATCCTCCGCCCCAGACCCCAATTCGGGGAGTTCGATCCGTTCGATCCTATCCACCTCGGGTTCTTGTTCCGGGGAGAGATCGCGATCACGACCGGCTTGAGGCCTCGATGCAGGCGGGTGGGAGGCGGATGGAGAGTCCCCACGCCGTCGACTGCGCTTGAGTTTGAGTTTGAGGGTGCGATCGAGGTGTAGTTTACGGAGGATGACCGATCGGAAGTCCCAGATGAGGGTCGTTATCCCGCCTCCTCCGACGAGGACTGGGTACATCTGTATTACCCCGGACATCAAGTCGACATGGTACACATCCGAGAGGAAGGGTAGGTGCAAGGTCGAACAATGTAGATAGGTGGCGATCCCATTATCGATCAGCAAAAACAAGCCACCCGCACCCGTTCTACACTTCACGACGAGACCAGACGGCTCACCCAAGGCGCATGATAACAAATCCCCGCGCTCGCCGTGACGAGTACCAACCCCCTGGTCACTTTATCCGTCACCACACCCAGGCTCAACTGATAAGCCGCCAAAGCGATCAAACCTACCGCAGCGGCGTTGAGTCCGGTGAGGATAGCTAGGGCTATATCGGGCAAGGTTGGGGGGAGACGGGAGATTCCTAGGGCTAGGGCTGTCATGCCGATCGAGGCGGGGAGGCTGGGTGGGGTGGTATGATACGAATCGAGCATAGCGTAGGGTAGGATAGTGATAGGTGGTGTATTGTATTGTCGAGAGCAAGGTAAAAGGATGAAAATGATCAGATCAGTCTCGAGGTTTTCCCAACACTTCCTCTTCTCCCCCCCATTCGGACCCTTTTCATACATTGCATTACAGCTTATTTTCCAGGCTAAGACCCCGACTCACCTCCACAAAAAAAACCCCAAAAAACCCGCTACAGTCCCATTCCTAACCAACGCGATGGAGAAAGCCAACTGCGTCGACCCCGGTCCGGGTAGGGCGTTGCCGAGGGCGAACAGGTCGGAGAACGTTTTCGGGGAGAGCCATTGGTGGGTGGTTACGAAGGTGCGTCTGGGGGTTTGGGTTTTGGGGTCGGGTCGTGTGGAGGTTGAGGTCGAGGCGGGGTGGAAGAGGGAAAAAGACGGCGAAAGTCGATCTGATCAGCTCGCGATGCCCCAAGGCCATACTCAATTGTCAAAGGAAACGGAAGACGAAGAGGAAAAAGAGGAAAAGAAGAAGATTTGGAAACGGGGACTGACTTTAGGATGACGACGTGAACTCCGGGTCCTCCGAAAGCTATTTCGTTGAGTTGATGTCATGACCATGGACACGATCACGATCATCATCACCATCATAATTCCGTTTAGCCTCGCATCTCTCGTAACGCGTAACGAGGAATGGTGCAAGTAGGCCGACTTACAAGTAAACCCCAAGTACCAATACCGCCGGAACGTCTCCCCTAACCTCGCTCGTAAGCTCCTCTTCTCCCCTACCGATCCGAGCCTGAAATCTGGGTTTGCGGTAGCAGTCTCCTCGAGGGTTGACATCGTCATAACTATTAATATTGTTGTCGTCGTGGTCGTACCGGGCAACTCCGATGGATGGGAGCTAAGTAGATGGTCCAAGTCCGGGTGCAGCGATTGTGAGATTTATGAAGAGCGATATGATCGCGACCACATCTCCAGGGCCAGCATAAGAATAGTAGAGTAGAGTATCTCCTCCGGGTCCCCCCGCCCAAGACTATGAGAGTAGCAAGAGCTCCTTGACCTGTGATCTGTGACTTTTTGCATATCGCTCGTCCTTGCGTCGTCGTCGTTGTGAATCGAAAGCACGTGCTCAACCGCTCGACATTCCGTCCCTTGGCACAAAGGCCCAGGTGGGTCGATCATAACGCATACACAAGTGATCCGTCTTGGCAGGTTTATGCGTTATGGACATGTCTGATTGGTATGGTGTGTTTTCGGCGATCTCCGAGTGTCGACGGAAGGGACGAGGAGGACATCCTTTGTAGACTCGACTAGGCAACTAGCGACTAGCAACTAGATACTCGAAGCTTGATGATTGCCCGGTTGTCAAAGCTATGAGCGGGGGCTGGTCTAAGTACCCTGAGCTTCCCAGCTTGCGTCTTTGATCGAACAGCAACGACATCTTCCTATCAGCTATCAGCAAGTTCCCCCCATCATCCCTTTCGGAGATGCCCGTAACAACCCCGGATCCGAAGGAGGATTGCTTACGAAGAGAAACGAAGAACGAAGGTGATGACGTAAGCCATACAGGCTGCATCTTCGAATGGAAAACTTGCCGGAGACGAGACAGAAGCTGCCGGAGACGAGACAGAAGCTGCCGGGGACGAGACAGCGTGATTCATTTCAAACCCTAAAAACCCCCTAACCCAGCCGTACTCAGAGACAACCCATGATACCCTCCTCCCTAATCCCCTAACCCCCTAACCCCTAACCCCTAAATCCCTTAATCCCTAGCCCATAACCACCTAACCCCTAACCCGTCTCTTCACGACAAAGTTGACGCCAGGATCATCTGTGAGATCCGTCAGGGTCACGGCTGAGAAGATCTCAAATCAGGAAGCAAATAGGAAGCAAAAACTCGCTTGGTTAGACTTCTCGCCCGTCAGCATTACGCAATATTACGTGGTCTCTACATTGTCTCGTCCCCGGCAGCTTCTGTCTCGTCTCCGGCAAGTTTTCCCTTCGAATCGATCGAAGACCCCGCATGGGTCGTTCACCTCGACTTGCGACTTGCAAGCTTGCACCCTCGTTGGTCAATACCTCTATGGAATGTCATACGTTACATCGGGTATTTCACACTCAGACTGGAAATCGTCATACCAGTATAGCATAAAGTTATAATCGTAGAGCCATAAATTCATACCTCAGCCCAGCCTGGTCGCGGGTCAGAGGAATCGACAACGAGATCCCCGAGTCGACCTTTATCTGAACCTACTTTGGGTGAGGTGACATAACTCACAGCAACCACGAGGCCTACCACCCACGATTCCAACCCGCAACCCTTAACCCTTAACACCGCAACCCTTAACACCGCAACCCTTAACACCACAACACACCCCCAGCAAAACCCTCAGCAAAAAAAAAACACGTTCAAAATGTCCTCCCGGGAAGAATCATCCATAGACCTCCTAACCTATACATTCCAAGCGACCGTCTTCCCAACGTTGACGCTCGGGTTGGGGTATTTGATCGGGGGGAGCGCTATCGGTAGGGTGGGAGGGGTTGGGGTTTTTGAGGCGAAGGTGAGCTTTTGTGGGTGATTTGATATGTTATGGCGTAAAGAAAGAGAGGGGGGGGGGGGTTGCGAGCAGTGGTAGGGGCAGGGGTTGGGGTAGTGGTAGTGGTAGGGGATACGGGTGAAGGATGATCGCTGATTTTATGGGTTTTTTCTCGGCCTCGTGCTTTTTTTTCGTTCTCGTTCATATTCTTCTGACTGCTATTCCTCCCACCTCAATGACGACAACTTCGATTTTGCGGAAATTACCATGTCGAACAACGAAACACAACACGATACAACACCATACAACATTAAACAACACCGTACAACACCATACAACGCATCACAACACCCTACCTCACCACACGCCACGATCACCCCTGTCAAACGCAAACACCCTCTGACCACGGTAAACACGGTCTGGTACAGACACTCCCCTGGCTAGCGAAGACCCTCCTAGCTCCATGCTTGGTCGTCTCCATCCTAGCTCCGGCGGATAATATAACTTTTGGGGGGTTTTGGAAGTGTGAGTCGAGTTTTTAGCAGTTCTCGTTGATTACAGGTACCGTTACGACTCGGGGAAGGCTGATATGGAGTGCTTTTTTGAATCTGATGTTGATGTGCGATTTGTTGCGTCTTGTGGGATGCGTTATCGATCATCGATTATCGATTGTTTATATGGTGGCCGCTTTCAACTCGGTCTCAATCTCGGTCTCGATCTCGGTCGGCGTCGGCATCGTCATCGATATCGTCAACTCTTTCACCAAACCATCCCTATCACCCCTTCACCCCCTCAACCCCCGATCCCCCAATCTCGTATCCCGGGGGGAAAAAAACGCAACAGTCTGGCCCATCCCCGCACTGGCCATCATCACCCACCTGATCTCGTTCGGCTTCGCGCTCGTCCTGAATCGAGCGAGGTGGACGAAGGCGCCGGGTTGGTTGGTCGGAGGGGTTTCTTATAACAAGTCAGTACAGCGGGATTGTTTTTGGCTTTTTTTTCACTCGCCTTGCTTTGCCCTATGGCATCATTCCGAGTTTTTATTTCTTGAGGTCTTTTTTTTTCTCGGTTGTCGACTGCTGATACGTCCTCCCTGGTCTGTTGTGTTTGATCGTGGTCGTCTCTGAGCAGCGTATCGTCCTTCCCTCTATACACCCTGCTTGCCTACTTTCGTCTCAGCCAAACACAAACTCAGACCTCGACATCGGACTCGGCGCAAGGAGAAGGCTTGAGAGGACCGCTCTCGCACCTAAAATGGCGGATCTTGGATACCGACCAAGATCAGCTGGGTAGGGCGTTGGTGTATGTGGTCTTAAGTTGGTGGGTGATCGATGTGGCTCGGTGAGTCCTGCTCTTTTCGCTGAGAGGAGACTACAGAGAACGAGAGAGAGAGAGAGGTGTCTAGAAAAGCTGGCTGACATGACGATAAATTCTTCGTCTGGTCTGGAATGATGTGTATTGTGGTGGCGTTGGCAGAGCTCTGCTCAGGCCGGTCGTTGATCGGATGACGGTCGTGTGGCCAGCCGTCCAGTTGCCCGTCTACGACGAGGACGGAGACATTTCGGACGAGGATGAAGAACAGGAAGAAGAGGACGTCGAGGCAGCCTCCGTCCAGAGCTACGAAAGTCAGGCCAACAACACTTCCGCTGGACGTCACGTTCGAGCAGGCGGAGATGGTCATCAGGACGAGACCACGCCGTTGTTACCATCTTCCACCTCCAGTCTCACTTCTCGCCTGCCTTTCTTAGGGATCGGGTTCAACAACACTTTCCTCCCCGGTGTCCTTGCCCTGTTGATCGCCTTTATCCCTCCGCTCAAGAATAATCTCGCCGACCCGTCCGGGTGGGTAGGGAAAGTCATAGGTGGGACCCTAGGATGGGTGGGGTTGAGCTACATCGTCGTGGACGTCCTGGCGATCGGGGTCACTCTGAGGCAGGCCGAGGTGGATAAGAAGTGAGTCGTCTCTTATCCCAGAGACATGTTGATCTGCGTATTTGCATTTACCAAGGTGACGACTTGGCCTCGCTCGTGGGCGTAACAGGGACAAGAAGCCATTACCCCCGACTCTTGGGTCGGTTCTGCTCATCTGCGCTTGGAGGTACTTTGCCCTTCCTGCCATTTCCATCGCGATTGTCTATGGCATGAGGAAGCATCTTCCCATCGCCTCGTTCATCCACGATCCCGTCTTTGTGAGTCGCGCCATGGCACCGTCATGATCGTACGAGAGCTGATTGATATCCTATCTGCTTAGGCCTACGTCTTGGCAAGCACCGTCATCAGCCCGCCCCGCTTGCCGGCCCACCTGAATGCACACCTCGCATCCGTCTACTTGTCCGTCTACGCCCTCTATTTCGTCTCCTCAGTCGCCCTGGCGTACAGCATCTTGATCCCCGGAACGGGAATATCGTTCGAAAACAACTTTGACGTCAAGGGAGCCCTCAAGTCGGCCCTCGGGGGAGGCGTCGCCGGGGCCGCGGCGATGGTCTTGCAGGTCTTGACCTTGATGTGGATCAGGACGACGATGAACTATCAGTACCGTTATGGAGGGACCTTTGTCGAGACTCTGAAAAAGCTCTGGCACGAAGGCGGGATCAAGAGGTTTTACGCTGGATTGTGGGCGGCTTTGTGAGTTTGCAACGAGTCGAGGCGTTTTGAGCTGTTGCGGGATACTGATCTTGAGGGCTTCACAGGCTACAAGCTCCCATCTCGAGATTCGGAGACACCGCTGCCAACGCTGGAATCTTTGCCTTGTTATCGACGTTGACGTGGCCGGTCCTGGTCAAGACGATCGCGGCGTCCCTCTCTTCGGCGCTGTTTAGGATGACCCTGACGCCCATCGATACCTTGAAGACCACGCAACAGACCAAGGGAGGCGTCGAGGGTCTCAAGCTCTTGCGAAAGAGGGTTCAGAGGCACGGTGTAGGGTGTCTCTGGTGGGGTGCGGTAGCTACCGCCGGAGCGACGTTTGTCGGTCATTGTAGGTCTCGCACGAGCAGAACGAGATTTCTTGGACTGCGAACGCTTTCGCTCACTTTACTTCTACTCCCTCGAATATAGACCCGTGGTTTGGAGTGAGTTCCGATGGTGTGCGTGGTTTGGTTCTCCCGGTCTGATTGTCCTCTACTCCCCTCTAGACATACAACTTCCTCCAGGCCCATTTGCCCCAGGCTCACAACTTGTTCCAGCGGCTCTTGGTGAGTCAAGTCTGGCTTCTGTGCCTCTCGACCGCCATCTCATACCCTGCATCCGTCCCATCGCAGCGCCAAGCCGTCATCGGTTTCGCCGCTTCCATCGTCTCGGACACGATCAGTAACAGCCTGCGAGTGATCAAGACATACCGGCAAGTACACGAGACCAACGTCGGATACGGTCAGTAACCCATCGGGCGAGATCGATGTTGGCCAAATCGAGACCGCTGACCTGCAGTGGGTATTCACAGTCGACGCGGCGAAAGAGGTCATCGAGAAAGAAGGCTGGAGAGGCTTGTTTGGACGAGGGTTAATCACCCGTTACGTCGCCAACGGTCTTCAGGGCATCTTGTTTTCCGTGCTATGGAAGCTGTTCTCTGATCTGTGAGTTTTTTGGACCAGATTTCTGCGTCATTATACGTCTTATTTTTACCCGCTGCCGAATAGCATCGCGCAACACGGCAAATGAGCCGGTAAACCAGGCCAGGCCATCTGGACGGATAATCGACCTGAATATCGGGAACAGGACGTCGTGCAGGCGATCACAATTCTCCGCTCTTGTCGCTCGAAACTCGCTATTAGTATGTTGGTCGCTGTGCGGACCTCGCCAAAGAAAATGCAGACCCATTCCCGTTGTGTCTTGTGAATGTAAATATATCGTCGAGGTATTACATACATACGTTGAACAGGACTCGCTATCCGGTGGCCAAGGCCGATCAAAGATATTGATGTTGAGGTTCCTCCCACGTGTAGTCCCGGTGAGCAGATTCATCAATACCCCAAGCGCCGATGTCAATCTGATGTTTGCAGATCAAAAGGATACGCAAGTTGGGTTCAATGATGAGAGTCAGTATGGTTCCTGTGTTCTAGATAGAACAATTATTATTATTGAGTTTGGATGGAGTACGGTATGGCAGGGGAACTAGTTGAGTGCCGAGCAGAATGCTTGGAGTGAAATCGATTCCTCTATCCATGAGCGCCTGTATCTTCCGATTTACGCCCTTCCTTCTATGACGTCTCCATCTCTCCTGAATAGTGCCGCTGGTCTTTCTGACGTAGCCGCGAAATTCGTCAGCTTCGTGAAAAGCGAGTAGGTGGATTCCGGTATCATTGCTCGTGAGGTCCTGCCGGTCTTCAGAACTGGGCATCATGAAAGCAGGGTGTTAAGAGGGGTGGGACGATGATGAAGAGCAGAATGAGGGGCCTGTCGCGGCGTCAATATCAACAAATAGACCTTTGACACCCCCTCTTTTTCACCATGCAATGCAGGGCGAAGAGGAGGTGCTTGTTGAGGGTGGTTTCTTTCATCACCAGCCATGATGTTGCGCCGATGTAGTCCCTTAACCGACAGTGATGTAGATCTCAAGAAGACCTTGGCTGTGGCCTGATTCATTTTCTCTATGACCTGACAAACAGCCTGTTCCTTGTCGTCAAAGTCTCGCAATAAAGATTGAAGAAGATTGCAGGTGAGAAGCAGGTCTCTGTCAATCGGATAGTTATTGTGCATCTTCTTTATAGTTTGAATTGGCCGAAGTAACAAGTAGCGAGTCGAGCGAGATTCCAGACCTCGCCAGAAGAGCAAGGATGCGGTCGAGGTAAGCGAGGTAAGGATGCGATTGGGGCAACTAATTCCAGAAGTTTCGACCGTACAATCGTACTTTTTGCGTGAATCGTGAACCAAGGCAGACCATAGCTTTCCCCCCTGATCGCCTCGAATTCGGGCGGTGTGAATCAGTCATCAAGTGCAAAGTGGCCATGATATCAACAAAAGTGTCCAAGATCACCATTCGAGATGGGTCAGAAACGCTCCATCCATCGCGATTTCCTGTGCGGATATTCTCACTTCCTGACCAGGATCTCCTGGGTGGTCAGGACCTTGTGGCTGCAGCCGAACGTCTCTGGCCACAAGACTGCCCTGCGGCATCAGTGTAATATTGTCCGAGGCGTAGACGGGCGGAGGCATGCTGAGTGTGTAGACGGTACCTGGATTTATGACGCCCTTGGTTTCGTTCTTCGTGATCAGGAGGGTGGGCCCTAAACTGCTCGTGGTCCGGTTGATCAACCTGTCGATCTCGGGGTAATCGATCGACCCGTCTTCCCGGTGAGGAATAGGCTCGGTAACGAATTTCCCTGGCCTATGAAGACCGTCGTTCCAGAACACGTTGGCCATGGGCGCGGCATAGGTGGCAACGTCTAGAGTATGCGAAAGACAGGCTACAAAGCAGTTCCCTTTCGCTTGACGCTGTATCCCGGCCAGAGGACCGCTGAAACCTTGTCCGAAAGCGCCAGTCACCCTGTTCAACCGTGTCTGTATAACGATCGGCCACATGCTTCCAAGTTCGGCATCGTAGGCGGTGCTCATGTTGAACGCCATGAACAGGTCGGGAGGGCCCAAGAAGTTGACCATGGGCGTGATGTAATCGCGTCTTTTCTCAGAACACGCTGCTTTCCAGTGATCGTTGGTGAAGGTGGTATCGTTGAAAGGCAGGAGAGCCTTGATGTCGTCGGGATTGTTCTCGACAAGGCTAATGAAGATCCAGTATCAGCAAGACGTTGTTATCGAGACGGAGAAAGACAGATCACATACGCTCGCATGAGAGCCAAAGAAGTGAGATCGTTGGGAACGCCGTCGTCTGTATGGGGGCATCGTTGGCGGTAAGCTATCGGGACATGATATAGTGTTTATACTGCCTATCTCACAGTGACGAGCGACCTTCAGATCTCCAGGTGTGGGTATACCGTGCTTGTTGAAAAGATACCAAGTCTCGTTATATATTACATTGGACTCATTCCTGCAGGCGCGCAAGCCTTCAAGGTCTGGGTAATAGCCTTCCGGCCCGGCAGAGACGACTGTACGCGATTTAGAAGTTATTGAGAAGGTTCCAGGCGATCTCACGTATGGCTGGCTTCACTTACGTAGCGTTGGCAGGCACAATGAGACGAGGGCTACGCGCCATATGGTTAGGGCAGCCATCATCGCTCGATAGGTATGATCGCGCGATTCGAAGGAGGGTAGTATCGACAATTTCAGGTACGAGGAGATTGAAATTATCGGTCAGAGCTGTCTGTTGAACCGCTTGGCGATTTTGGCAGTAGTCCTTACATGTAGGAATCGCGTGCAGTGGCGCGAAATATGAAACGCGGAGATTTGAAGACAGCTGCGCGCGGGGATGAAAGGAACGCTCGAGATTTGGTGTTTGAGAGTAACTGAGTAGATCCCTTCGCGGATGAGACTTTGGCAGATCGATTGAAACCTATCTGTGGAGAGTCTTTCGGCTGTCACACAATCCACCAAGGCGCATATACCGCATCGGCGCGTGCTTATAATTATAGGCCACAGCGTGACAATGTAAGCCACAACTCTAGTAGGCATGGTACTAAGTCTGACATGAATATGACATGAAGTATACTGGAAGACTAAAGCTAAACCGTGCAGGGCAATGCTGAAACATGTCTTGTAAAAGGTGACCGGGGACGACAGTAGGTCTAAAGTCGAACATGCAAGATTGGCGCAAAACATTTTGGTTGTGTTCGCATTACAGCTCGTCCACATTGTACAGGGTCATGGGGAGAGGTTGATAGTCCCATGAAGGTCACTGGAAGCCAATGACAGCTTTTCATCATTTCGAAAGGTTACATTGACCCTTTTCACGTGGAATGATCAACTCAATCCGCTTTTCCGAACCCGTTAGCTTACTCTCACCGGCCCGAACGCCATCACCACCGTGGTTTCTACCTGAGTTCATGCGATCAAACAAGCAGGAATCGCGGCGACCCTGGCCGCAATGTCTCCCATTGAGTCTCGTCACTGCCCTATCTCTACATCTCCCCTGCCTGTGTCCCTTGTTTGTCCAATCGCTCTACAAACGATAGAAGGTGTGCCCCCACGTAGCCGTAAGCCTATTCAGAACGTCGTGACTCCGGATATAGCACATAAGTCTCCGCCCTGACAGCAAGCAGGTCCGATGTAGGACAGAATTGACAATTGTATAACGACAGTCGATCAGACTTGTGACTACGGTCTCGCCAAGGTGTTCAAAAGAAAGGCGTGCTACACCTGCCCGGCGGGTGTTGATGTTTGCGGGCTGCTCTCGAGAAAGTAAATCGGAACCACACACCGAACCGACGAACCAAGTTGCGAACCACCAAAATACGCGCTGAACCGACGATCCCGTCAGCAAACCCGTCGGAAGATGGTGGGCAACTAGGTTTACTTCCGAGCTGATGATCACGTAAATCGATCCGGAAGCATATCAAAAGATTTCGCCAAGGTCGATCATCGACCTGTGAGATTGAAACCTTGTAATTTCTGTTTGGTCTGCGACAAAAATCACATACATAGCAGAGGAGCTCGAGTTAGCAACCGTCATCATCGAACCCTTCATCGAACCCTATGTTGAAACGAATCCAGAAACGCGCAGAGAGGAAGGACCGGGAGGTAGCACCGCTCAAGAGCAAGAAGTCTACCGGGAAAGATTTAGCGATCTCGGAGTCAGAAAAGGACGAGGAATCAGGCAGTGAAGCAGGCTCGGAAGAGTCAGATGAGAGTGGGGAGGAAGATGGTAGAGACGAGTTGATGTCTATGAGCGGTGAAGGTGAGCAATCTAGCCGGTCAGAATTCGGTTGACTTCGCAAGCTGAAAGTCGGTATGGTCGGTAGAGGATAGCGATGAGGACGATGAGGATGACGAGGACGATGAAGAAGAGGGAGAAGACGAGGACGAGGACGACGAGATGAGTGAAGATGAGGACGATGAAGGTAAGCCAAACCCTCCCTCTGGCCGTCTTTGAAGCACCACGACTTCCACAAGCTGACTCGACCTCACCATACTTGCCATACTCGGTATCAGACGCTCCACCAGTCTCCCTAGACGATGCCATTTCTAAACCTATCTACTCTCTTCAAGAATCAGCTAGCGACGAAGAATCGTCAGAAGCCGAGGAAGGAGATGGGAAGGGAGAGGTGAAACCGAAGAAGAGGCTACAAGCTTGTATCTTGTGCCCGCAGAGACTGTTCAAGAACGATAAGATGGTAGAGGATCATGTGAAGAGCAAGGTAAGCACGTTGACTATTGTCTAGCCCATCTTGGATGCTACTTCTGCGACCGTGTAATCGAGTTGAGGCTGATACGATGGGAAACCTTGTCATATCACACGATGTAGAGTCACATCCGATCCCGAGTCCGGTTCGCTCAACGTCTCCTCGACCCGGATACCCTGACATCAGACGATCCGAGGGATATCGTCCTCGATATATTGGAAGAGTTGGAGAACAAGAAAGCGGGGAAGAAGGTTGGCGAGGAGAAGAAGAGCGGGAAGAAAGAAGTCGAGGTTGAGGGCGAGGTAGATGAGAAGAAGAAGGTCAGTATTACTGAGATAAGAGGGAGGAAGAAGGGATCCGCGCGGTGTTTTCCGCAGGGAGCACGGTTGTTGATCCTGATTTTGATTTCGCTGCCCGTTGGTTTCGACTCGTTCTCAGGCCGAACAGGGAAAGAAGCGGAAATGGAAAGAAGAGGCCAAGGTCGCCAAAGAAGCTCGGAGGGAGGCGAAACGTTCGAAGCCCGAAACCTCAATAGCACAACCGAAAGCTACGTCGACCGAGGCCAAGACGACCGCTGAGAAACCTACGGGCATGAACAGAGAAGCTCGACGAATCGAACAGCTGTTGGACTCGCTAAGTAAAGAAAGACGGGCCGAGCTGGAACCGACGTTAAAGGGCAAGAAGGGGAAGGAGAAGATCAAGTTGATCTTAGATGAGAAGAAGCGGGTGGTAGGTGGGACGCCGGGGGAGAAGAAGCTCGATGCAGAGGAGGTACCGGCACCGAGTCGGACACAGGGGAAAGAAGGGGAGAAGAAGAAGAAGAAGTCGAAGGGGGAAAAAAGGAAATCCGATCGGAAAGACTGAACATTAGTCGAGTTGATTTTTGGTAACGGATAAGAGTCATTAGTAGTAAGGATGTCTGAGATCTGAACTGATTGCCAGCAGCCGGTACACAGAGATCAATCGTCAAATACCCGGGTTTACCTTGCTGTTGTCACCCACCCACCTCTTTGTAACTTGCGATAGACGCCGCCCATGTCATGTCGTATGCGATATGCGATGCATTGACCTCGGACGCGACGTCGGTTTGAAGTTGTTGACCTGGAGTCGCCAAAAGAGACGACTCGTCTTTCCATATCCTGTATATCCTCCTGTACTGTATTCATTTCGAAAGCCAAGGCGACATGGCTTGCCATGACAAGTCGTAGACACCACGAGTCATAGCCATGTCGGACCAGACTTTTTATATAGACGACAACCCCACCGACCTGACTCGGCGGCTCCTCGCTTCATCACCCGGAAGCACCGTGACCTTTACCCTCGACGAACTCCTGCAGTCAGCCGATTATGCGGACAGAGGCAGTAAAATCCTCACGGGCGTCCTCGCCGTGTATCAAATGGCAGCTCGGCACACCGCACCGAGTGTAGCCGCACAGATCGCTCTGAGGGCGACTCAGTATCGGGAACAGTTTTGCGGGATGGAGTGTACTGGGTGTAGGGGGAAAGGTTACCCCCCGGACAGCCACTGGAGAGCGAGGCAACGATACCAGGGTGGCAAGCTTTGCTTGAGAGCCGATCCCGAGGAGTATCCGTAAGTCCGTTGCCATCCCCATCTCCATCTTGATGCGTCTTGGAGTTACAGACGTCTCCAATTACACCCCGTACCGAAACCTGCAACTTGTTTATCAAATCGATGATCGCTTATTTCACTTACAGAGAACTACCTATCAGCTGTTCTTCCTGCGCAGCAGACGGGAAGGAATGTAACGTCATCACCGAGAACATCGATATCTCCGATCCACACATGTGGGACTCGGAGGACGACTTTGACACCCCGTACAGTCCGTTCAAATGTAATCACGAAGATGACTGTGAATCCTGTACCTCTTCGCACCCGGAACACGAGACCGAACCAAAGGAAAAGGAACGACCCGTCATCGAGATCCCTGACCTCCTTCGTCTTGCGCCTACTCACACTCTCGCCGAACTGGATGACTATTTTGAAAAGAATCCCTGGGGATTTCCGGCCTCCCGTCAATGGGGCAACGACCATGAGACCGGGAAGAGCTGGCACGATCTGTTCTCCCTCTACACGGGGGCTCCATTTTCTCAACTAGGGTATTACGAGGATGATGATGGAGAACGCTCGACTGGATGGGTGGATAGAGAGATAAAGGAGCGATGGGTGAGGGAGTTGTTTGGGTATTTCCCCGGGGTGATCAAGGAGGTCGAGGACGTGGGTAGCAAGCTCGAGGTCGACTCCGATGAAGATGAAGCTCAGGTGGACGCGCAGTTGCAAGAAGGATCCCAAGCAAGGGAGGACACCGCTCTAAAGGGCCTCGCTACAACCTGGTCCATCGTCATCCCCGCATACATCTCCTCCGCTCCGTTTCCTCTCGACCAGACGACACAACCCCGACTGGATCTTCCGTACGACTGTCCGCCTGATTCACCTCCACCTTCTCCTGAACCAAAGTCACGTTTCCCAAACTTGCCTGGTTCGGTCGGTGGGCCCTCGGGAAAGGGTGCAGGCAAGAAGACGGCTGCAGCGAAGAAACAGACGCAGGGCAAGGCCGGTGGGTCAGGGGGATATGCTGGTGGTGGTGGAGTCAAGGGTGGTAAAGCTCAAGCTCCAGCCAACGGGAAGGGCAAGAAGGACAAAGGCAAGGGCAGCAGAGGCAGAGGCGGTGGGGGTAAGAAGGGTAAAGGACGCCAATCGGACAACGAATGGCCTAAGCGGGGAACATAACCCTCGATGTATCATAGCGGTCAAGGAAAAATACAGATGTTCATAATGTCGTAATGACCGGGTGCGTGTCAGCACCGCCGATTCGTTATCGTCCTAGTCCCGTCATGGTCGTCAGGAATTTTCAAGTGATGGGTGGATCAGGAATGTAACACCCGTTCTCCGTGGCAATCACTCTCGAATGGGCTCTTTCCATCCTACCACCCGCCTCTGCCAACCCTCGATCGAGGCGTAAAACCACGTTTCGTCAAAGGTCGGTGTCGGTCCGTACGTCGGATGCTCGTCTTTGACGGTCGTCCTCGCAACGACAGCAGTCTCCACCGGATCTTCATACGGTGGTTGCTCTTCCTCATGTACATCTTTGTCGTCGTCGTCGTCACTATCGTAATCGGTCGGGAGGATATGTACCGTTAAGACCTGACCCGATGGAGATCCTGATCCGTCCTCCACCCCCGCTTCGTTCTGCACCTGATATCGGTCCCGAGCAATCTCTTCCCGACGTAACGCTCGCTGGTACGCTCGTTCATGCTCCCTCCGCATCCTCTCTTCCTGCTCCTTCCTACTCCGTTCCATCTCCATCTTATAAGCCCATCCTCCTTTCCTCCACCTGAACAACATCACGCAGAACTCCGTCAACCGAAGAGATCCCGGTAGACCCATACAGTCGAACTGGTTATTCTCTGTCTGACCGGGGAGACGAGCTTTACGGGCCTGCCGGGACCAGCAGGACGTGTACCGCCAGAGGTGTTCCCATAGCGGTACGTCCCGCTTATCAGGGAGCTCGCTGCCGCAATCCCCGATGCCCCAAGAACCTAGTCTACGGCACATCTCGTACCCCAGGGCGTCTCGCCTGTAGGTCTGCTTGTGTTCGATAGTCTGCGATGTACCTGGCGAGGTTCGACTTTGGGTCTGATCATCCGAGTCCTCTCGCCCATCATCTTGTTGATTTATCCCTAGCCCGCTCTTCGTACCCCAAAGGGAAGCAAAGACCTCGAGTAATTCGCAGAGTTTGCGGATGATCTCCTCGAAAGCCTTGTCCTCCTCTTCGACCGTAAGATTCTGCTTGATGGGCTCGACGCTATCCTTCTTGATATCCGAATCAACTCCGCTCCCGCCCTCTTCCTTTACGATCCCCCCAACCCGAGAACCCAATCCGACCTGCTCGATGAGCCGATCCAGCTCTTCCAGAGCTTTGCAGTCATTCTCGTACAGCTCCGTTGATCTTTCGAGGTTCCCATAGAAAGTGTGATCCAACTGATGAAGCGGAGTCAGGAGGGCTGTGATGTAGGCATCAAAATTCTCGGTGTCGGTATGAATGTTGCTGTCGTGATCGGACAAGGGGAAAGGTAGGAGGAGAGCGTGCATGTCTTATGTGGTATCGCGAGGTAGTGTTGGGATAAATTCGCAAGTTCTAGCTGACGTCTGCGAGTTGACAATGGATAGTTTCGTCAAAATTCGAATCAGCAAGATGCAATCGCGAGCATCGAGACCTCTTGACGCTCACCGGCAGTCCGAGAGAGATCAGGGATAAAGGGAGATCCTTTGGTTCCTTTCCGACACCGATCACGACCATGACCGGCCATGTTCCTTGTTGATCTGAGACGGCGTTGCAGCGGTATGACTAGGTAGATTGGTATGGAAGGTGTGAATGTTGGCGAGGTCTACGATTTCACATAGAAAGCTTGATGAAACCTTAGCATCGATCGATCGATCGTCAAAATGTGATGAACGCTGCTGGTGTCGCTACCGGGAGAATCACGCGAAACGATCTAATCTGTGGGCAATGGCCTCCGAATCGCAACCCGCTCATACTCGACTGACAGACGGACTTGAATAGAAATTAGGACTCGAGATTCATATGGCTAGACGATACAATCCGGGAAGACCCCGGTCATGCCGGTCATCAAACTAATTTCCGTGAAGTTTTAGTTTCCGCGACGAGTCGGTCGATGAGCCATATATCACTAAGCCAACCTCCCCGAGATCGAGTCTGCTGGCCACGAGACTGTGATATAGTCATGGGCCTGCGCATCTGATTCTCGCACGGTGAAAGTCGCAGACTTCGCGTTGCTAAGCCAAAGCATCGTCGTCATCTTCCCTGCGAGCTCGCTTCCTGGATGGCCTCGACGAAGACGAAGCGCCGTCTCTCCCGCTGTCGACCAGCCGGGCGAGCTGTTCCTCCAATCTCGCCAGCCGATCTTCCACGTTACTAGGTTCCGAAACTGGATCTCGACCTCCATCAACCCTAGTGTCGACTCTTTCGTCGACACGAGATGGAACTTCGGCATCTCCGGGAACCTCTTCCTCAACCTTTCCTATCCTCGGCTTGACATCCTCATTTTCGACCATCCTCTCCTGAACTCGTTCAAGCCGAAGATCGATTGCTCGTTCACGTTGATCGAGACTACGAGTACGTTCCTGATACTCGAGGTCTCGTTCATCGGACCCTCGTTGTTGGCGCTCGAGCACCCGTTGAAGTCGCCCGAGCTTCTGACGAAGGCGTACGGACTCTTGTTCACGTTGCGTGCACTCTCGTTCTCGTTGAGAGAGCGACTCCTCACGCCGCCCCAGCTCCTGCTCACGCCGTTCAAGAGAGACTTGGGCAGTCTGGATCTCTTGTCGTGTCTTCTCAAACTGCCGCTCGAGCCCCTGTACATGTTTACGATCGGCAGCTTCCCTTTCTTCCCTTTTCCTCTCCTCCTGTGCTCGCAGAGCTCGTTCTCGGGCCGCTTGCCGTTCTCGCCGCTCGGCCTCTTCGCGTTGGTGACGCTGATCAGTCTCCCATTGAAACTCCTCTTCGTCCGTCAAGTTTTCTTCTATACCGCACTTGCGTAATATGGTCGCCTTGTGCTCGTCTTTTACTTGTTGTAAGCGGGCCCAGTCGGTAACAGCCTGTTCCTGCGCTTCCAAGCTCAGGCAGGTACAACAAGCTTCGGGACCGTCCTTGTCTTTCGCATGTTTGCTGGTCGTATAATTGAAGACGAAGGTATGCCAAGCTCCTTCCTTCCACCGGGTCTTGGGGTCCCACCTATCCAAAGCTTTCTTGCTCGTCGATTTCAACGGCGTGAGGATCCTATAAACCCTGACCTCGATCCTCCCCTTGCATTGCTGCGCTCGAAGAGTACAGGGCAACTTGTCGGATATCTCGCTTTTCGTCAGACAAGGGTAGGTCTTGTCCGCCCCGAGAGAGCCGTCGACGTGGAGCACGACCCGAAGACCGGTACTATTGCTCAACTCTGGCTCGGCTGCTTGGTCCTGAGGAGGTCGTCTCTTGTCGGACTGACGATTCTTGCTCCTGGGTGTCATACTGAGTGCGAGCTCGTAGTCGTCCTCTTGACATAATTTGACGGATCCTATGGTCTTTCTGGGCGATCGGGTGACGTCTTGTGGAGAAAAGACTCCTCCGTTCATGACCAGCGTAGCTATCAATGCACCGCCAGGAGCGATGAGTGATAATATCATTTCAGGAGACGATCTGATGACGTCCAATGGTATTTCAAGGCTAATGTCAGTCGATGTGATCACCAAGACGGTGGACCATCATGGAAGGGCTTACTACCGGTAGAGTAGGTCCTGTCGCTGAAGGATCAAGCGGCTGCCAGGTGTTCTCGAGTCCGATCGATAGTTTGTGCAAAAGCACCTGAGTTGGGGAACTACATTGTGGTTTCGTCAGTGGGTCGGGTATATATACTTGTCTGCTCAAGCTGGTCACGATGATCGGCTCGTCATTGATTGGCTCGTGCGAATTTTCCGAGCACACAGACCCTAATTGTAGACTTGTACACTTGTAGTCGAGACGAGTGATCGAATGGTTCGACGTAGTAAAAAAAAAACAAAACCAGGGAGCTGGTTCCCTGGTTTCCCCAAGTCAGCTCTAGGTACCTGGAGTGACTAGAGGGGCGACGCGCATCTCTCGTCATCCCTGCACCACCCTATATCATACATCCTATACCGCCTGCAAGAAGAGAACCCTACACAGGCTATCTTGACAATAACATGCCACACACAGTAAGGGTACATATACTCCTAGTGGTACTACTTGTACAACGATAACTATGCCCTTCTCTCTACGCGTCAATCGATACTCATCCGATGCCGCTTCATCTCAATCTCAGCGTCCTCGACCGTGACCATCTCGTTGTTATCGCCCGACCGCTGTCTCCCTCTCCTCTTTTCTTTGCGTTTGAGAGAGACCCGCTCTCGTTGTCGTTTAAGTCCTTTTCCAAAGTTTCGCATGACGACCAGAGACCAGAAGAGAGCTAGGACGGTGATGGCGATCGATAGCACTGCAAAGATCGTCAACGACTGATCGCGCGAAGAAAGGTCAGCGAGCCAGCAATGTCGGTGTCTTGCCAATCATCGGAAGCCTACCTTGAAGACGTCCTGAAAAGTACTCTTGCGGCGATAAATCTGGATCGTCTTGTAGACAAAATACCCCGCCGCACCGCAGAGAGCTGCCATGAATCCAGACTACCACAGCATGAAAACGAGATTCCGGTATCAGCTTTGTAATAAACAACCTTCCCGCCAAAGAATTGGACTCTTGTATACTCGTGGACTTACCATCCATACATGCGCCTCTTTATGAGCGGCAACGGCGCCCCAGATCAAGACCAGCATCGAGATGGGTAATAACGCTAACGTCGCCCAGTATTCGCCGTTCTTGGTCTGATAGAGTACTAGCCAGACGAACTAGATGATCCAGAACAGATCGAGATTGCATATTAGTATCATTGAGGCGAGCTGGGTGAGATGTATAGTAGGCGGAGGAGAGGGACGAACCTGGATCCCGAAGCCGGCAAAGAAGAACGCCGCGAACCGTAATATGCAGACGAAGATCTGATAATGGAAATTGTACGCCTTGATCCGCAAGTCGGCACCGAGATCTATGCATGACGCCAATCGACGTATCAGCAAACGCGGTATCGAAAAGAGCTGAAAACAAACGCCTACTCACCGTGATAGATCTGCCATCCCATCTCCTTGTATACGAACCAACTCAGGGTGACCAGCCCTACCTCGACGAACGCTATTACCCCTAACATCGTCCCCGTCAACGCATCCACGGGGATATCATAGATCGCTTCGGACACGCTGGTATCGCCATCGGTATCTATCCGTCGGGTGTCTTTGAAGATCGTCCGGAGTTCCGAGATCTGCCAGGAAGAGAAAACGTATATCCAATAACTTGTCAGATTCGTTGCGATACCGTTGACCGAGAGTCAGATGGGAGCTCACTTGTAATGCCGCCCATGCCAAGAACAGGGCGTTGAATATGGACAACCCGATGATCTGGATCGTATTCCGGTGATAAGCCCCGTCAATAGCCAGGATCATCTGCCACAAACTTCCCGGTTCGAAGGTGAACAGCATCGCTCGTCAGTTCCTGTTCGCCGAACCTATCTCCAATCTGGTGTGGAGACTTCAGTGCTGGAATGGGAGAGTTCCACTCACTGGGCTAGACCGAATATAGCCAAATATACGGGGAACTTGCGTTGATTCGTCTTGATAGCCTCCGTAGCGAACTGAGAAGTAACCGCTCGGTCGAACCGCAAGTACAGGTAGACCTGTCGTTTCGTAAAAACACGTCAGCTTTTAGCTGGTTCCGGAACGGGTGCAAGAGACGGACTGACTTGGATGGCGATGTCTACTATCGTTTCTATGAATACTAGTAGGAGGAAGATCCTCGTATACTTTGAAGCTGGGAGGTACTACCAATCCAACCCAATCCACATAATCCGAAGTAGACAATCTCGCAGGGTCAGCGACGCTGCCAAAAAATCAGCCGTGTTCTGAGACCCACCTTCTCCCACCTTCCTTTACTCTGCCTCGCACTCGACTCGTTCCTCAGCAACACTCTTCTCTGCGTCCCATTGACATTCGAACTCGACCCCGACCCCGAACCCATTCCCGGCCTGGAACCCGAACCGGTCGTAGTCGTTCCACTCCTCGACATCCCCGACCCGGTCCCTGAGCCTAAACTTCCTCCGATCTCATGCTCACGATCAAACCCGAGCGTATAACGAGGATCATGAAGTATCTCGCTTTGCCCTGGGGACGTTGGAGTCGGATCCGTATTCGAATCTGATCCTAGATCGGTCCCAGTGACGGGGCGTTTAAAATAATCTTTCCCTTCCGCATCCGAGTTGGAGCTGATTATCGAGAGCGGGGAAGCTAAGAGGTGCAAATTCGATGGGCTTGCCAGTGGTTCTGAACGGAGTTGATCGTGTTGACGATATGAAGATTGCTGGTGGTGTTGGTAGTTCTGATCTTCAGGGTCGTCACCGAGATACGTGCGCGGAGGTCGTTCGACCCGGTCCGATATCGATGGTCCCAGTCGGTCTCCTTGTAACCGAGGTTCGTAGATGGGAACTTGGTTAGGTCCTTGTGAAGATGAAGATGGTTGTCGAGGTAGGTCAGGGAGTTTCCGGACGCTCGATGGATCTTCGAAAGTGGCAGAGAATGGCGAGATGATGGGAAGAGAGAGTTCGAGCTGCCCATGTCCCCGATCCTCCTTCGGATCCGGGTCACTACCGAAATCCCTGGTAGAGTTGTTCTGATTGACATGCCTCGCTCTCACACCGTACTCCTTCTTCCCATAAATGTCCTGTCGACCCATCTCAGCGGCATCGGTAACGAGGCCTCGGGACGATTCCTCGCTCCGCATCTCGGTCGCGTTACGTGCGAGTGAAAGGTGATCCTTTCGCTCCTGGACTTGTAATCGGTCGTCCTGCCGTTCGGCCAGGTAGAGAGGCAAGACTTGCGGTAGAGGCGATTCAAGAGGGAGTGAAGAACGTGGAGTTTCTGGTATAGGCGGGTCTAGATATCTTGTCGAGCTAGGTGTCCTGGATATGGAGGTGGATGTCGGTGTTGATGGCTTCATCTCGTTGCAGGCATCGCTGGTTCAGGTCCTTTCAACGCGGTTCAAGCGACGGCATCGACGTTGGAATAAAGGTGGCTGCACCAAGCCCTAGACTGCTGGATTGATGCATACTAGCTAGTATAGATGATGTCGGGGATCAAGGTACGTGCAGAGATGGTCGATCAACCGACTTTCTCGAGCCGAAGTCGTCCATTGAACATATGCTTGGCGGTTCTCGGAACCGCAAACTAAGCGCGCGACCTCGTTGAAGTGGACGTCTGTTGCGCCACGACGCTTTCCCTATCCCCCAGCTTGCTGATGACAATTCAGAAGTTCCCATACGGTCAGTTTGTTTATCAGATCAATGGCACAGATGATGCTCTCAACTTCAGCGCCAGGGCGTTTTGGTCTGGTTTGTGGTCTCGTCTCCATCTTGAACATCTCTTCATTGACCGTCATTTCAAGTCCAAGCAAGACATCTCTGTCTTTGTATTGGCTCTGGAAGTAACAAGCCGCAGCTCGACCATTTTCATGTGTCATGTCTGGACAGCGCCCTCTGCCGTTTTTGGTTTCATTTGTCATCTTCGGATACTTCGGCGCAAACCCACAGCACCCAAACCCCCAGCATCCAAACCCATGGCCACTACCCCGCCTCCTTCACCGAAGTTTGCAGATATCATCGAAGACCGATTCCGTTTCTTAGATGAAGTGGTCAAAGCAGAGGCGGCGTCACACAAGGACTTGGCTGGTCTATAACCCCTAACCCCAAAGCTCATAAAGATCGTGCATTCTGTCGAAGTATTTTCCTCCAATATCCGCTCCGAATCCTAGCTCTTTTGTAAGAAGTAGGAACGGGTCTTTGCCTTCTTCGAGGACAGGGCTCGCGCTGGAAGCTACCATCGGTTCGATTGGAGCTGGTGATGAGTTCCGGCCCAATGCAACTGGTACCTCCGATCTCATGGCTTGTCTCAGTCTGCATGGTACTGTCCTCAGTCATCTATTCAAAATGCCTCGTATAAAGCTCTTCAATGGATTCCTTTGTGCAAACTGACGCGGTGACCATCTTTAGGTTTGTACGGTTGATTCAGAAGTAGCAGGAATGCTGTCTCTGATATTGGGCGCGGTCGAAGATGAACATGAGACCCGCTCATATATGCCTGGTACAGTCATCATAGCTTATGTGGTTCTCGCACTTCATCATCGAGCTGAAAGGAATGTTCACTTGAAACACGAGAGGTCACGAGGCAGGCTTTCGGGTTTCGCCTCTCGAGGCGTAAAGAAGGGCAATAGGCGCGGAAAAGCCCAAGGTATCGATGACGGCGCCATCCATCTGATAACTTCAGTGAGTATCGAAACATTCGCGCTTTTCATCATCGTTCTTGATCTTCAGCTTGAGGATGTTCCTGTAGTACCTTCCCGGTGAGCTACAGAGGTTGACAGCCGAGTCCGCTCGCGCCGAGGCATTCTTGTCAATTCAAAGCCGACGCGCACGACCAGCGATCATTTTACAACCCAGGTAGATGCCGCATGCGACCGTGTGAAGTACCGTCTATCCTTCGGTTCAACATAGTCCCATAGGTTTTAGACGGTTCACCGGAAATTTCGAGTCCATCTAAGCTGGTTTACAAGTAACCAGCAGAAGCGGGCGCAAGGGCAATCAAGGGAATCGATGTCTTTTATACAAATTCTACTAGAGCTACATCATCACGAGCGCTGGCACGATCTGTGCATAGTATCGACAATAAAGAGAAATGTCACCGGTGTCGCATTCGGATCGTGATCTTCATCCTGTGGTGAACAGGCTGGTGTCTCTGATCAGACCATAAACCCTGTAGATTGTGCCGTTCCACCCCTTATCGTAAACCGTGACAAGCCAAGCGGCGTTTCCCTGTCCGGTACTGTACGTGTGATTGCCGCTACACACCTTCCAGTCGCTGTTGACCTTGTTGACGCATTCCTGAAGGTTTTTGGGCAGACCATTTAGTTGTGCATGATCTTTCCCCAGCGCCTTGTCATCGATTTCTTCGTGAGTCAGCTTGAGCTCCGCTTCCAGGTACTGATATGTCGGATCGCTGACCGAGGCCGGCTCACGCAAGTAAGCAGTGAGGGGGAAGTTGAACTTGTTGTCGACCTTGCGGTCGTTCGAAATTGTCATTCCGAAGTACACACTGACCCATCCTTTCCCAGCGCGGAATGTGCCCGTCAAGCTTTGACTCAGGAAACAAGCGGTTTCGAAATCCTTCTCTGGGCAGGAGACACGATCGGCGGCAAGAAACTCCAGGTACAGAGTATGGAGGGAGTGGCATACGTTGGTCCATTTCTGCGTCATATCCTTTCTAAGCAACTCCGATCCTACTCTTTTCGCTAAAAGCAGGAAAGGATCATCTTTCGTATTGAAGGCGGGACTCAAGGGGGGCTTGACATCCGTGCCTTCGGTCTCGACAGAGGTATTACTTTCCATGAATGTCGCGGCAGTCCGGTTCGAAAGAGACCCCTGCGTGCACGCAGTGAGATCCAGACCGATACCAGTCGTATCGCTGAACATCTTGTGATAGTCTTGCTCGATCGATTCCGCGATCGTTCCTTGTTCGATGGTGGAAGTCGGAGCCATTTTTCGATGTGGTGCGGCGCTGGGTCAAAGGGATTTCCGAGAACTTGCTTCCGTGATCTGCTGCATTGCAAGTCAAAAGCCGATCGATCTGCTTCTCCTATATAGTCACTGTGGTTGATGTATACTTCTCGCATGTCATAAAGGCATAGACAAAGGTGTACACCCTCTAGCATGCGTCAGTCAGGAGCCGCGTTTCATCGCGCCGAATGCGATGTCTCCATAAGCGCGGAAACGCCCGAGGTGGCGGAATTGACGTATCATGTGACAGGGTTATATCACACCATTCTCGTCGCTCGTCGATAAGGAGGGAGGTTATCCCAACCACCTTTTGTGTCTCGACAATGCGAACCGGGAGAATTGCTAGACTTGAACTGTTTCCCGCAATACGGTAACACTTCAATTTGCTCAAGAACAGCGGCTAGCTACATGCTGCAGCTTTACGTGATTACGATCAAATAACCAGACTCGTAATCAGCTGACTTATTGACGTGTGTTACTATCACCTGACCTAACAAAGGACTGCTGCAATGGAAAGGTGATCACGCGTCGGAGCGCGCAAGAAAGCCTCGAGATGCAAGACAGGGAAAGTGATCTTGTTTACCGTCTACACCATCATGTCACCTCCACTTTCTGGTGAAACCGACCGTGAGATGATATGCCGAGTTGTTAGCATTCGGATGCACCTGACGGGCAAAGGGATATCCCTCCGTATCTGAATGTGTAGGATTATATCATCAGTGGTGTGGCGTTATAACCTGACAATCTCAGAATCAAAGATCAAAGGAACGTTCGATCGTTATGGTGAACGAAGAAGCAAGCTGGATGCCTGTTAGTACAAAGACCTGGAGCGGACATCATTTCTCCCAGAGATACAACTGTTGTCTTATAGTCTGATCAACCCTCTTTATCAGCAGGATTCTATCCCTTACTTGCATCAGAACCGACATGCCCAAAGATTCGCGCTTTCGGTGGAGCAATTTGATCGACGATATCTGTCGCAACGTATGCCACGAGATCGACTCGACAGGACAGGTTGAGTTGCTGGAACAGCAGTGGAGAATATTTCACGATCAGCTCAAGGAAATATCGGCCAGACCATCAGGAGAGTTTCCATCAAAACGCCCGTGTAAAGTCTTTGACGATGGAGCAAAGGCTTATGAGTACATGCAGGCAAATGATTGGAAGCAGTATTACCTTACACCATCTCAACTTGGAATCCTACGTGATCACATGATCAGGGTCTACAAGTTTCACTTACTCAATTTTATGGCAAATGACCTTGTCACGTACAGCATTTTGAGCACAAAGGCTTTTCTATTCCAAGAGATGATGTGTGAAGGATTGTACAACTGTGCTGCCGAATCAGGCATTACAGCTACAGTATATGGTAGGAATAACAATCGAAAGATACAACAGTTCGCAAACTCACTCTCCAAGGGTACCAAAGAAGGGCAGCCTGGTACTCTTCAGGATCTCAGGGTCTTATTGACTAGCCATGGCCTTCCCGGAATTTCTCTGTTGTCTTTCGGAGAGGCCAGGCTGGACACACTCTCTGCTCTTGAAGAGACGGTTCCCGATACTGTCTCAGGCAATGAGCCACCGAGCTCAAGCAGATCCTCCTATCTGAGTCGTGCCTGGCACAGCCTGTCAAACACACTCTCTCACGGCAGCTCAGCCCCGTCAAGCAATACTGATTCGTCAACATTCCACCCGCTCAGTAATTGTTAAGCCGACCAAGACAAATCACAATACGCTCAGACCATATCAGCTAGGCTCGCTATTTTGTACTTTAATTTGAAGTTGTACCTGGTATAAGCATATTGATCAGCCTGTCCGATGCTTCGGGACGCGGCGCAGGCACGTAAGGCGTGCAGCAGTAAGGAGGGAAAAAGCCTCATGTGTTGTCCATAAACAAACGGTCCCGTCACTCTGTTCTCACACAATGCTGCACATAAGGTCATTCCCTGTTCTCCGCAGGAACTGTCGCTTGTCACCGTTCAACTATGCTTTGTCATACTTTGCACCCAGATTGGTCCCCAAAATAGCGCTATTGTGATGCCCACAGATTGTACTTCCGGTCTCCTCGTCTGTCTCGATCTGAGCCGAGCAATTCTGAAAAGGTGATCAATTAAAGAGGATCTGATGTGACATCGATCAAAGGAAGGTCGTCTTCACGCACATCAAGACGTACCGCCGCGGTTGACTTGTCTTCCTCATTTTAAGTCCGAGGCGTTTATACATGACTGGCAATATTCAGCTAGGAAAGCATGTCGAGGTTTATTTTATGAATTCAGGCTATTGTTGCTACATGTAATTCCATTTCAAGCAGATCCGCATCAGTCAAAGCGAAATGGGCATGAGCAAACGTTGTAGGTCATTGAGGGTTGGGTGAAACGCTTGTAAGGTGGCGTTTCCGCACGTGATGCGACTACTTGAACCAAACCGGGACTCAAAGGAAGGCTCAGCCGAAACTAGGGGTAAGACCGAGTTGAAAGCCTATAAAGCCTGAGGCGGTGCGGTCAGAGTAAGCGACCCCCTCTAACCACAGATCGGCGATACATTTTCTATTGACAGTCAAAAGAACCAGTCATGTTCAAATGGTCCAAGACATTCGAAGCCATCAAGGACACTGTCAATACAGCCTACACTGATCGAAAGGGATCGCTCGCCACGATGGACGGCTGGAGGGCAGCACAGAGACAGCTCGAGGCTCTGTCTGCTGTTCCGAAAGGGATCTTTCCAGAAGATCGCCCCTGTCCCATTTTCTGCCAAGCAGCGAAACAGCAAAGCAGCTTGGAGATCAACTTGTGGAAGCCCACTCATAAGCTGTCTGACCTCGAGATCGGCTGTTTACGAGACCATATGATTACGCACTACAAGCACCTTCTGATCAGAGCTATGGCTCACACGATCGCACCTAATCACGGAGTGGACGAAGACGATCTGTCTGACAAGCTGCGTGTCTATCAGGGGATGATGCATTTGGGTCTCAGAAGCAGCATGGCTGGTATGGGAGAAGACTGGGAATTTCCCAAGAAGGTTGACAGACTTGCGAAGTTGCTCGATCAATGGACTGAGACTCATGGCTCAGCGGAGCTTGCGATCTTCAGGCAGCTTCAACAGCATTGCAGCGGTTTCGGTCCGATCTGTAGTCACCGGACCCCTCTTCCTTACATCAAAGACGACTTTTTTCCAGAAGTATCCTCCATCTGGGATGCCCGCTCTACGCCATCGGACAGCACTTTCAGCCGAGTTATTTCGAGAACGCTGTCTTGGTTTACCTCCTTTGAGAGATCAATGGCCAGATCAGACCGCAATTCCGCTTCGAGATCCAGCATGTACAGTTTTTGAGCCGGAAAGGTTGTTCTTCCTGTAGCGCACCGTTGATGGGAGAAGGTTATAATTGGCTTATCGGAAAGTTTGTTGTATGAGTGTATGCCTGCATTCTCGTATCATAACTCACTATAGCGTGTACCATAGTGGATAGTAGATATGCAGCATTTCATGCGATGAGCTGCCCTCCATTTCGCAACAGGTCATCGACTTCGTTCTGCGCTGTTTGTTTCGCCGTCATCGCAAAGTGTATCCGATGACACCATCCAAATACGTTCGCGGTCAAATAGTAGTGGCGCGTTCTGTCGGGACTTGACAGTTGCGTACAAGTAGTACTACCGCAGACCCAACCAACGGTAGCTTGGTAACCGATGTTGACATTTCATGAAGTATAGTCTAACACGGTCGAGGTATAGACAAACTAGATCAAACGGCCTATGGTATGCAAGATGAGTTGTTGTTGTCTTCATCAGCCCGTGATCTTTGGACATGTGCATTGACATCGAATAGAAGTCTTTTCGTTTCATTGGGTCACGGCTCGCTGCTAATTCAGCCTGAGTTCGGCTTTCGGCGTCAACGCCTTTACCGCCTGTCGAGATCAAGCCGTGGTTCTACGAGTATTCACTGTTGTGAAGCGTTATCAGACTGCCGACTATAGAGCCAATTCAGTTGACTGTAGACCAGAGTTCGACTGGTGCGGGTCAGGTGAAACAGTGACGTGAGATTCTGATCAATGGCAGTATCACATGTCACGCACTACTGGATCGCTAGCGGTCAATTGCACGTGACGGTTGTCAAAGGCATCGATGGTATGATTGCCTGGTTGCGTTTGCCAATCAAAGGAAGCCCTTGTGGTCACAAAGCCAGCTGGACTCCTATAAAGAGCTGAAGCAAATGTCATATCCCCCCATTCCCCGCTGGAGAAATTCATGTTTGATTTGATCAACCCCTTCATCATCAAAGCACTATTCTGTCCCCCCATTCACAAATCAACATGGCAACAGACTTACCTTTCTGGAATGGCTTGATGGATGAAATCAGCAATTCCATGTTCGAAGGGCTGCCGCAAAATCGGGAGCTCAATCAAGCACAGTGGCAAGAACTGTACGATCAGCTAAGGCTGCTGTCAGGTCATTATCGGACCCCGTTCCCATCGACAGACCCTTGTCGCTATTACCGAAAGGGACTAAAAATCCTTCGGGAATTGGAGCTCTCAAGATGGAAGGACAGGGAGCACTCGTATAAGCTAACTGAGGACCAGCGTGGTAAGATGGCGCAACACTTACCCAAGGTGTACAAGCTCCGCTTGATCAACTTGATAGCACATGAGATTGTTAAATTCAGTGACGCCCCAAGCTCAAATTGGAAACTGCCTCGCTTCCACGAGATGGTGCAAATGATATGGAGAGATTGCGTTATCCAAGCGGAAGCTCCTGTCATTTTCTATAACACGGTTGACAAGGACAGCATACAGGAGTTTGCAGATCAACTTGCTGTTTGGGGAAAGACTGAGGATGAAGGGGAAAAATCTAGCGCTCTCGAGTCCCTTCAAGAGTATTTGCGTAGACAAGGCCTCCCTGATTCCCCTCTTGTGCTTCTCGACCAGGTCAGACAGGACACAAGGTCTACTTTGGAAGGTTCTACTCTACAAAGTGTCTTGGGGACTGGCTCAATCAGTTCCATCAAAACCTCTTGGTCAACTCGGACCAAGGAGAAGTTACAAGGCTATATGTCGGGTAGTTCAGCTCCATGTGACAACACTACTGCATCATCTTTCGATCGAGATCGAGTTACACTCGATTGGCCGGAAACTTGAGCCAACTTGGAGGGGAACATTCTGTCTGGTATCGCTATTCGAGATTGTAACTATATGCACAGTGTATTCCTAGATGTGAATGTGTATCATTGTAACTATATGTAAATGTCTGCCGTTCTGTAAACATAGCTAACCATAACTTCTGCCTTGTCGTGACTGAAACAATTCTTCCCCTATGAGTTTCCTCGAACAATTTGCGACACTTCGGACGGTATCTTTTCAGACGGATCCGATCGCAGTGTTCCAGTATTGGCAGGTTCCAAGGATCTCTGAAGCGTGACAAAGACTATCCAATGTTACATATCCGGACGTTCTTGGATGCCTCACCCTGAGACAAGAATGTCGGATTCCCATGTGTTGTATTCTCGGAACGGCGCCTTCTCTCTTTGACCGGCTTGTACAGACGCTAGCAAGGAGGAAGAGCCTATTCAAAGAATAAGGTGAAACACGACATGAATCCCCTAAATCGTAGTGATATCACATACGATAACCAGATTTTGCCACCTTGACGACTCTGTGAGTCAAATGGCAACCTCAGTACTAAGTCGTACTCGGGCCTTCGAGCTAACTTACGCAATGAGCCCACAACAGATCTGGTCGCAGCGACATGGATCAAGGAATCTTGTAGCCGAAAGTTGCCGCTCATCAGCGTCGCTTTCGCTTCTTCTGTTCGACTGAAAATTGAATTGGTTGTTTTCGAATAGCGCCGTATAACATGACAATGAAGATGCTCCTACATAGGTCGGGACAGACATGAACCATTTTTATGGGCGTATCTTCGGCTGACTGGTTTCAGACAGTTGTCGAGCTGAAACAAGCCTCATGCTCTTATCGCATGCGACACGGATGTTGACCTGAGACTCTTCGCCCTTTCCTTCGCAATCGTCATCTTCTTCTGACCTACTTGTCGACTCTCCGCTCCATAGTCACACTACTACACTGACTATTCCCGACTCCCCGACGTCTAAGATCTGTTCACTAGCTACTAGCATCATGTCATCAACAAGGAAGCTCGTTACCAACTTATCATCTCGCTCGCCAGTCCGGCTGGTCCTCTTTGACGCGTTCGGTATGTCATCCACCGCTTCCCCACCTTTGCCTATCTATCGCAATCAAGAATGCTTAATCTGACGAGACCTTGCCTACGTCACCTGGATCATGGAATAGATACCCTGATCACACCACGCTTGCCAATACATGTCCAGTGAGGATCTTCCCTCTCGCTTCTGCTCGAACGTGAGCCCGACCCGCGTATCATTCTCGTCCTCAAAGCTGATCACCCATCAAATCCCTTCGACTGTTCGGATAGGTATGCAGAAGAAGCCACTCGAGCGGGTCTGAAAGTTGATGCGGATGATGTTCGGAGAGCGTTTAAACCCGGTAAGTTCCTTTTCATCTTCTCTGAGCTGATATTCATGCTTGTAATGTAATGTACCAAGCCTGCCTTTCGAGAGCGAAAGTGAGGCTGACCCAGTACATCTCCCTCTTACATCTCATCGTCTATATGGCATTTCAAACAGCCTTTAAAGCCCTCTCCATAACCCATCCTCAAAACCCTCAAAATTCAAGCTCAAACCCCACGGGCCCGAACACAACAACAACGACAATAAGGCCTCCTCCGCTGGACCCGACGAGGTGGTGGACGTTATTGATCGAAGGATGTATGCGCGGGGCTGGGGTTCCTGATGCCGGTCAGTATTTCGATCATCTTTACTCTGAGCACCTCATTCTCTCTCTCTCGCTTGATTTATTTCAAGTGGTTCTTCGAGGCGGGAAGAGACTCTTGTTTGATCACAAAGCTGATCAGACCTCACTTTTCTTTCACCTACATCCACCTCAACATCCACCTACACCTGCACCTACACCTACATCCGACCTACGTCCAATCCACCACCACCACCTCAACCTCCGATCTACCCTTTCGAACACAACACACACCTCGCAGAGCTGAAAAAAGCACTCCCAACCCTAGCTCCAGCTCTGATCAAGCGTTTCGAAAGCCGGGAAGGGTATCGGGTATTTGACGATGTTGAGGGTTGTTGTAAGTCTTCCCTGATTCCTCTTCTCCTTCTCTTTTATTCTTCTCGATCTTCTCTTTTCATTGGACTTTCATGATATTCGGTTGAGGCATGTGGCCAGATCGTATGAGTTTGATGATTAAGACTCGCTGACGACCCGCTCACTTCTACTCTTTGGATTCCGTCGGTGTTCTAGTGAAAAGGCTAAGAGAGTTGAGGGTACCTACGGGGCTGGTCTCTAACGCGGATGATCGGATTCGTGAGTCCTATTTCTACTTTTCCTATCCATCGGACAGTTGTTTGTAGTGAAAGGTCTCAAGGGCCGCTGATGCCCTTCGCTCCACCTCATCCTACTCAATCCGAACCCAAACCTCGGCCTCACCCTATACGCCGATCCGAAAACCGCAACCCCAACATCAACATAATCTTCATCACGGCGCCGGTCAACAAGCAGTGAAAACCCTGCACTCCCTGGGAATCCTGCCCGACCTCCTTACCGCGGGAACGACCATCTCGCAATACGCTGGGTTTGAGAAACCCGATCGGAGGATATTCGAGGTCGCCTGTCAGGCTGCTGGCGTACAGTTGAGAACCGACGAGGGTGGGAATACGGGGGAGGGGTCGGGGGAGGGGGAGGGGGTGTTGATGGTCGGGGATGAGCTTGATGCGTGAGTACATTTCGAGCCCAAGCTGATACTTTTTCCGAACTCATGCCTGATTCGAGATCAAAAGCGCGGTGAATGCTGAGATTCTTCATATGACATCCCAAATCCTCGCCTTCTCTCTATACTATACCCCGACCCACACTGCAGAGACTATCACGGCGCCCTCACAGCGAACCTCGAAGCCCGACTCCTACGCCGCCCAGGCGGATGGTCCGAAGGCGCTAAACGGGAATCGGAAGATGTCGAGCAACTGGAGATGAAGGGCGTGAGGGTGATCAGGAGTTTGAGGGAGGTTGTTGAGGAGGTCGAGAGGCGGAGTTTGGGTCGAGGTTGAGTTTGAGTCTAGTGGGAGATGGGTTTGGAGAGATGTAGATGTGGACGGAAGCTGGCCTGGATGGCAAGATCGGATATCATGGGATGCAATCAAGGCTCGAAATTCGGGGCCGCAAAGACGTCGATGGATCGATACATCTAGGATACGTACGTCGATCATCTACGATAATCTTCTACATGACGCGTCTGACCCCGGGATTTGACGAGTTGCGCAAATGCCATCACCATCGAGAACAAGAAGACCACAGCCAACATAGGGGAATGTGAGCGATCATCTTGACGTAGGCTGATATATATATTCAATGAGAGGAAGGAGAGGCTTGACGCAAGGAAGGCGAGTTTCAATGCCAGGCAGGTGAGGCTTGAGGCGAAGAAGGAGAGGCTTGAGGAGCTCATTGTCGAGTTTACTGGCGACAAAGAAGAGGAGGACGAGGATTGGTGATCACACATGGACGATGTTGAGTTTAGTTTACTGGCAACGGATACAGTGGTGACAAAGAATCAGTTGAAGTTGTGCATGTACAGTAAAAGTAGATTTGAAGAGGATTACCGCATCCGAAAACGCTATATATATATAGTCCATTCCTGTATCCAGTCATGGAAGCAAATCATTACGTACAGTACCTCCAAATCACTCAGGCTCTCGATAGAACGCCCTGGGGTCTTGCTTTACACGGCAATCAATCCTTTAGACCATTTCGATACACAGCTTGCAAATGAAATCAGCACTTGAATCCTAAAAGACGACAAGAAATATTCCTTCAAACAGGAACTCGTCATGGTTGATCTCATCTTTCAAATTCCGCTCGATTTGGCCTCCTGTTATAGCATCCGCGGTACGCGTATCGCACACCCGCGTCGGGTAGTTTTACAGGGACCTCCAATGGGAGTTCCCGTACGGAGTATATCTAGAACACCCCCTATGTGTTTACTGTAATGTAGTACTAGTTGTACTACATCCGTTATTACATTCATTACCTTACCCTTACCTTCTAGTCCCGTGTGATACTATTCCAGGCTTGCAGGCAAGCCTAATACCTCCAAGATATCCGCCAAGAAGCTCATTGCCATGTTTGCCTTTCTTGCACCATCTATTGACGCGCTTGGGGCTGGAACTGGAGCTGGTGCTGTAGGGCTGTCTGTACGCGATTTGCTGCATTGTCGACAAGCACTGGGATTGTACCATGGGTGAGAAGGCTGCGTTCAAACCGCTTGACGAGTGGCTCAACAGCCAGAAGGGTTATGGAATAGTCGGCCATGCCATCTGGCATCTGTCCGTCGATCGATGCTCAATCTGATGTGCTCACCAAATGATTATAGTATGTCTACCTCTCAGACTTCTACACTGCAAGGGATACTGGTCAATTTACAGATGATTCAAGCTATTGTAGGGTCCTGCTCTTTTCCGTGGCGAGGCTAGGATACTGTATGACGCAGACGGAGATTCTCTGAGCGGGAGCGCACAAGCCTGAGAGGTTCGAAAATCCAGAGACGATTTGTCGAGTTTGTCGAGCCTGACAGCCGGGGTCATTCGCACCTAAGTATCTGAACTGAACAAGTCTAGATGTGATTGATCGATGATAATGTCACTTGGTAGTATCGCATGCGACAATCACTTGACCCGAGACTCAACGAAGGCACGGTCGACCTCCTTGACCTTCTCAACATCGTCATCATCAGCACATCCTTTGCTTCGCTACCTTTCTTCTACCTTCCTATGCTCATCGTATGACCGCTTCCTCACACCTAGCAGTACACACTCAGATCCATCCGTAGCATGACGAACCCGGTCCAGGATCATCGAAAGTTCTTGGACGAGATCTCCGTCCGTCGAGTTAAACGACGGCGATTACTTCAGACTGCTGGATCGACCTCGAATAACGATATTAACAACGAAAACCACGATACTAACGATAACGACAATGACGACACCCCCTCCCGCTTAGCCTCTCCCAAAGACAAACCCCGACCACATCACATCAAACCCGAAAATAAAACTCATGACGAGGTATTGAGATCGAGCTACAAGAATTATTCCCCCGGAGAGGAGACGATCAGGAACGATTACCTCGTAGAATATATCGTCAGCGGGGTTTGGAATGCGAGTTGGATCAAAGGGGTCGGGAAGGAGGTGGATGAGTGTCGAGAGTGAGTCTTATCGGGGCCTTCAGCTTCATACATACATCGAGTGTTCGCTTAGGGGGAAAGGAACGATACTTCCCTTCCACACGACAAGAAGAGGACCTCTTTAAGCTGACCACCTTGTCTTTCCGGTATATTATCTCGTATCTCTCCTCTCCTTGACCTTCAACCTTCAATCACCATGACCGTGGAATCGAAGATACCCAAAACTGCACCGCCTCCAAGCCCTCAAACGCTCCCTCGTCTCCTCCCACGCCCACCCTCCGTTATACCTAACACTGGACCCGGTATCGGAATCCCCTCTCAGCCTCCCTTCTTTACTCTCCACACCTCCAGCCTCCTCTTCCTCTTTATTATCCACCTCTTCCTCCCAACTACCTCCAAACCAGGTGTTCGACGTCATCCACATCCGCCCACCCCCCCTTTACACCCCCCAAGAACTAAGCGCCCTCCCAATCCGGCACCTAAGCGCCGATCCGTCGTTCGTCTTCCTCTGGGTCGGACCGAGCGATGGAGATGGGCTTGAGAGGGGGAGGGAGATGTTGATGAGGTGGGGGTTTAGGAGGTGTGAGGAGGTCGTTTGGGTTCGGACTAAGAGGAGCGGGGGGAGCGCGAAGGGGATGAAGGGGACGAAGAGGGGGGATGGGAGTGGGAGAGTTGGGGTTGGGGGTGGGGATAGGAGACAGGGGAGGGCTTCGTTTAAACGTCGTCGGGATGGGACCTCGCTTCCAAAAGACGACATCGACGACGAGTCCGAAAATGCCGAAGGAAAAGAAAAAGAAGAGCTCGAGCAAGAAGAAGAGAACGAGGAAGACCCGATACCTACCAACCTCCTCGTGACCCAAAAAGAACATTGTCTGGTGGGCATTCGGGGGACGGTGAGGAGGAAGACGGATGGTTGGTTTGTGCATTGTAATGTCGGTGAGTAGGTTTCGGGTTGGTCGCCGGAGTCGGATCGGAGCCGAAGGGAGAGGTGGAGAGGTGGATGAGGACAAGAGGAGAAGAGCTGACGAATATGCTCTTCTTAATTTATTTCCCCTCCGTCTCGCCATCATCACCGTCGACCTACAACTTTCAACTCCCACCCAAACCCTACAGACACCGACATAATCGTCTGGGACCCCGACCCCACCGACCCAGACCCCCCAGCCTACCCACCCCAGATCTACTCGATCATCGAGAACTTTTGTCTCGGTACCAGACGTTTGGACCTCTTTGCTCCCGCTTCCAAGTCGGGTCGGGCGAGGGGCAGGAAGGGGTGGGTGACTGTCGGGCCTGATCGGGTTGGGGTGGAGGTCGGGGTGGACGGTGAGAGGGAAGCAGAAGGAGAGGAACTGGAGGAGGCGGTTGACGGGAAACCCAGCGCGGAAGGAGATATTCAAGGAGAGACAGAGGGGGAAGAGGGGGTGAAACCGTTCGATCCCGTCAGATATGCAAACTGGCTGGAAGGCAACAAGGACGAAATGGGACGATACGTCTTACCTCTTACGCAGGGTGAGTCTTTTTGGTCTTGTTCGTGTGCCTCCTTCATCCCGAAGAAGGAACTGACTCGTTCTGTGCATCCTCGACTTGAATCCCTTGTTTCTCGCCCCGTAGAAATCGACAACCTCCGCCCGAAATCCCCTGTACGTGGCGAACGCGCTGGTGATTCGCACGGACTACCCAACCGACCTGGGTTTGTCGATCGGCCAGGGTCGGATCGGGGCCGTCAACAACACCAACAACGGCAGGTACAGGGTCAGGGTCAGGGTTATGTTCATCCTCACGGGCATGGACAACAAGGGATCCTTAGTCCGACGTCTATGGCTACGCCAATGTCGATGTCGCCGTCGATGCCGATGGATCAGAACCACAACCAGAATCAAGGCGCGGTGGGCATGAATCCGATGATGAAAATCATGAACATGAACAACAATCCCGCTTTCAATAACAACAATATGGGCATGATGAACACGGGGATGGGCATGGGTATGCCGATGCTGGGGATGAACATGAACATGGGAATGGGCATGGGCATGGGCATGGGGATGAACATGCCGATGAACATGGGCATGGGGTTCCCGATGATGGGGATGCCGATGATGGGGATGAATATGGGGAACGCGATGTTAGGAGGGATGTTTGGGAACGTCGGTAACAATAACCAGGGGCAGCAACAACCGCGACAACAACAGCAACAACAACCGCAACAACAACAACAGCAGCAGCAGCAAAATTAACAGCAACAATCGTCGCAGTCGCCCTCGTCGTTGTCAGCTTCAGCGCCTGGACCGTGAGACATCCGAGATCACGCTGTCTTGGTCCCGGATGCCAAGATCAAGTCCCGTTTGAATCTTCGTCCATGAGCAGGAATATTCGATTCAATCTCATCTTACGACCGCCTCGGATACCTACCCGATCGCAGGCGGTACCCATATGCAAAGTTTTTTTCCGGGATCGACGAACGTGATGCATCCGATAGGAAAGGCCATCCACGCAAGAAAGAACACAGACGTCTCAGCTCGACTACCCGACTGGTCGGACTAGGAAGCGTTGAGACAAATCGGCGTGGGGCATCGTATACTCGACGTCTCCAGCAACGTCTCGCCGTCCCCCGATCCAAAATCAAATTCTTCTCGCAAGACGTACGATCGGGAAGACCCACATCCGATTGGGCAGACCCAGACTTTGCTCGAACGCACGCTCGGGAACAGGAGGGAATTCGTCGGATTGTCTATTCCTCGGGTTTCGCATGGCCGCATGGAATACCTTGTGATTCAAATTCGTCGTATATACGATACGATCTACGGTGTTATTCACGCTTGCTTGCTGTAAAACGGTATGATTACGCCAGCTATACCATGACTCAATTTGATGAGTCTCGCGCACAGACAGGATCGAAAAGAATCGATCAGCAAGCAACGTCCCCGTATCACGACGTTTGCCATACTGCAACCCAAATAACTCACTCTCCAGCTAACCCGACTCCATGTAAACCTTCTCTGCCCAATCCATCAATTCCTCTGACACAATGCCCATCATCATCCTCGCCTGCACCTGATTGAACCGCGCCAAGCGAATTACCCGGGAGTCTATAGAGTATGTCCTGGTACAAGGGGCCGGCGATGGAACAATATTGTCATGAGGTCAGGCGGAACAACAGCCCCAAAGAGGCTAGTCTATGTCAATTGGATCCAAAAACGCTGGAGCTTTCACAGGCCACGGGAAGATTGGATCAGAAAGCAAGTCGGTGAGTTCACAAAGACATGAGAGTCTGGTCGCCCTCTTTAGCATGAACACTCCATGAGAGACGTTTGTGAATGATCCCGTAAGAGTTTGGGCACCAACCAGAAGTTATCATTCTATTCGGTATGGAACCGAGAGCAGCTCACCGAGAGAGAGAGACAGAGAGATGGCCCAGATGGCTGACTTGACTTTTATTTCTAGGCCATGAATAGAGGTTAAGCTGCACTTGTGGTGATCTCAGCAAAGGGTTCTCTGGGGACGTGATCATCGTTGAAGGTGCTGTCGACTGATTGCTCATTGAATAACTGTTGATCTTTTGGATACGCATCCATCGTGCAGACAGTGCTCTCTGCCGGTACATGACATTCGCCTCTATATTTCCTAATTTCGAGTGCCTTCTTGAGGATTGCCGCCCAATTATTAGACCATTGCGGCCTATGCTCACTCAGTGACGATGCACAACAGACCAGCCGCCCACCGAACTTGCACACCAAGACTAGCGTTGATATATCAGCTGATGAGGAAAGGGTCGAGCAGCGAATGCCTTTCAGATGGAAATATCTCTATGCAACTCCTTCTATCATAGCACTAATAAGGCATGGCCAGGATGGTACAGCGTTCAGACAGATCATCGCTGGACCCCACAGTGGTGCGGCAATATTATCGAGTTTTAAATATAACATCGGGAAATGCTTCACGATGTACGCAGGCACTTGACGCACAATGATCGGATTGTTGAGTCGTCTTGCCACTTCTCACTTGTGGTATTAACGCGGGCTTTCCAAGCAGCATCCTGGTCGTTCTCCAAGATACCTCGCAATGATTACCAGCAAAGGACGGCAATTGATGTACGAATAGGGGATCAAGAAGGAGTCGACCGGGGAGATATGTTCCAAATTACCATAGGTAAGAACGTCGTAAGCAACCGAGATTGTTGCGGCTGGCCATATTGTGTTCTGCGCATTTGCCGGCGTACGTCGGGTAGAACCCTGGAGAAGGTTCATGCGGACGGAGTGGTATCTGACTAAAAGAACCCTTATCACGCATATATCCAGAAGAGCATCCCATCATGTAGTCAGGCGAATATGAGCAGCCGATGTCCATGCTTCAAGGTGAGCTTCGTAATCCTGAGGCAGCGGTAGAGTAGTCCTAAAAATCTCCTCGCGGATCTTGGCCGTTTCCATTGCTGATTCCTGTACAGCGATGTTAGCGATTTGATAGGCGCGTACCGTTCGAGGGCGGACGTACATGGAATGCAGACTGATGAGAGAGGTTCGATGGTCCGACGCGACTACCGACCTGATGTCCGAGTTTGAAAGAGATTGTCATATCCAGGGCGAACAGCGTCGTCCAGATTCTTGTCGTCCAGGTCCTTTTGTCATTGTGAACATCATCGTGATTGTGATTCAACCCAGCACTGAGAGCACATCTCATCGCTAAGCCAATGATATCCCAGGCTAATTGGTGACGCTCTCGCTGTCCAGTGACATTGATATCGGCAAGCTTCACATCAGCAAGCGTGAAGCAACAAGGACATGGAGTAGTAAGTCACCAGCCTCATCGATACCGCCAACAGAATGAGAGCACAAACTCGCAAAAGGCCAGTCTTGCGATCAATAGCAGTTGAGCCTTGAATGTACTTGGGTTTTAGGATATACTGTAGGTCGGACATATCGTAATCACACCATAGCATCGCTGATAATCATTCCATTCTTCACAGCATGCGCCGCAGCTCGAGAAAACACGGATTGTACCGCTCAAACAAACACAATGAGACAGACCGATAAAAATCAATCAGACTGCACACCGAAGAGCTTGAGTCCTTTACGACCAGGGATAGACTGCCAAAGCAGCTAGGTACGCGTTCCGTGCGGATGTGCCTGAATCTTCGCTCCCAAAACCTCCTTAGAACTGTTCACGATGAGCTGTTTCACATCAGTCTGAACTCCTGAAACACCCGGTGGGCTTGACGTTTGTAAGCGTGTCAAAATGATCCGCTTGATCGCACAGCATACACTTGCAACGCGGCCCACGGCGGCTTTGAGAATAGCAGCGTAGGCTAGGCAGACGGAATCAAACGTCGAGAGGTCCATATCGTCAATGCCAAGATCGTTCATGTCGGCGTCGTCTGTGCCGACGTTGTCGTTCGTCACCCTGTCGTGCCGATGCCATTAATTTCAGCAGTGTCCAATCCGCATTTGATCCCATGCATCATCTGCGTTTGAGTATTTGAGTTACGAATCCGTGAAACAGGCACCACCAGCCAGCGCGGGACGCGCGCGCCCGGGTCCAGGTCGCCGTTTCAGATTATCGAAATTCTTTTGTCTTGTATACGGCTATTGTCCTCGGTATTAACAAGCAAGAAGCTGCTCGGTATTAACAAGCAAGAAGCTGCTCGGCATACTGAGACGATATCATCCGTATCTCATGAGTAGTCCCCGTGTTTCATCGGGAGACAGAAGCGCCATTAGCGCTCCGTCTTTGTTCCCCTGTGTTTCAGCTGAACAATAAGAGTTGTCGGCCTCGCTGTGCTGCAGTGTCGGAACGAAGATTCTTATTGTTCTGATTAGTATTTGTAATGGTTCAAACGATTTAGTTGATCCTCCCCGTCATCCAATATGCTCTCGTAACACAGCAATCTGCTTGCTTCTCACCCGTTCAGCTTCAATCGCTCTTTTCCCGCAAATCTCGCCACCTACATACCAACCCAGTCATGCGGTCCGAACGAAACCAATCAAACGAAGATGCGGAGATCGCCTCTCAGGTCGGCAAGGTCGCCGTCATCGTGATCAACCTCAACGCATGGCAGGTGAGTGTCTAGGAGGATGGATCCATACCAAAGCTCTGGCTGACAAGCGAAATTCGGAACACAGCAGGACGACAGGCTGAACAAATTCAGCCGCTGGCTCCGAGAGCTCGAACTCCAGGCATGGAAAAGTCTTTTCAATGCCGGTCATGGTGTCGACGACGTGTTGACTTACATCGCGATCGATGGAATCGCTGATCTGGACCAGGAAGAGTCTGACCGATCCGAACTCGGCATCTGGATGAAAGAAAGCCAGATCGGAGCGAAAGCTTTATCTCGACCCGGGGAGCATGGGTCTGCTGCAGATGCTGTGCAGGTTCTGTTGACCGGTGTGCCTATAATCCACCTTTTACAAATCTTGGCTCGGATACTGAGATCAGGATGTTCCTATCCGCAGCCGTAAACGCTATCCAAGGCCCCGTCATCTATGTTTACATGAGTGACACCCCTCAAGGCGAAGCCCATCCGTTCTGGCGCGAGATCAATTCGCAACCCAAGGTGGCCGCAGCCCACTATATGGCGTACGATGTCGACAATCGTGACCACTACGCGGCTCAACCCGAGAAATACTTCTGGGTCAAGGATGGGATTCGTTCCGACCGATTGCAAGTCACCCAGAGCGAAGAAGGAGGTGCCCAAGATCCCGTCATATTTTCCACTGGCGAGCATGCTTCGCGAAGGGACCTCAGTCATAGCGTCTCTCAGACGCTGGATAGGTCGTCCAGTCAGGATGAACAGACTGTCGAAGCAGAATTGGACCGGGTAGAAACCGAGACAAGTACCAGACCCTCGATCGAAGACGGGCACAGCTCCTCTCAACGGCAGGACACCGTTGAGGCTGCCTTGGATGCCGTCCAGCTCTCGGCCGAGCACATCGAGGACGTGTCTCAGCAGATTCATCAGCCGGCCAGATCTGTCACAGCAGAGCTGAACGATAGCGCTGATCTGGCGGGTGCACTCGCCAGTCTAGTAGTGAACAGCACTTCATCTGGCGAACCAGCGGTATCTCATCGAGAGACCGGTCTAGGTTCTTCGATGTCAGACCGCCTCTCAAACTTGATACGTCGCAGTCAAAGGCCCGCCTATACCGTGGAGTTTGATCCCCAAGTACACCACTATCCGCTACCGGACAGTTTTAGAGCAGCCGAGATCCGATGGATCTACAAGGTCTATCCCAACGGAACCCGTAGCGACGCCTTTTTCTTCAATAACATTGTCCTCAAATATCGAAACCAGAGCGACGTCCGCTTGACTCAGGGTTGGAGCGACAATCGGGTATACCTCGAGGATTTTGTGACCATTGGTATACCCTTGCGGGTCTACGAGAAGCTGCTCACGAAGCTTCGGGCGTTATTCAGCCGCGAAGGGGTCGACCCGAAGCTGCCGGACACCGACGGCGAGAGTCATTACGCCTGGTTGGACGTCAAACTCCGTAGAGACGCTCGTTATCAGTTCTTTGTTCCGGACTCTTCTGGGAGGACCCTCGGACCGCTCCGGTACCTCGCTGAACGCACACACCGTTTGGAGACGAAACACCTCGTCGGCCGTGGACAGCTCGCTTTAAGGGTCAACCACGTACCTGGCTTATCACCGAGACTCGGGGGTACTTTGTGGGGTTTCGATCACGCAAGCTGCGTTGATATCGGCTCGGGTTCAATACTCCGCTGAGATTGCACTTCTCGGCGAAAGGTCCGTATCAGGAATGCAGACGCCCAGAGCTTTCGATAGATCTTATTGATCGATCAAATCGTCTTCCCACCGAAGCCAAAGGACCGTTCGAGAGATAGGACCAGAGTGGGTATCTTGTACGAGCTTGACATGTTTATGCATGTGACCCGAGGGAATCTGCGTTTACAAGGTCCCGCTTTTATACGATTCTAGTCCCTTAGGGTAAAGTGACGTGCGGGGCATGTCGAGTGACCAGCTTGACGAAACGATCCAGACGCCAACTTCTGCGGGAGCCGAGGTGCACAGGCTGCTTTCACGGTAGCGGCAAGCGGCCACCTCTGAAGTGTCGACATTCCTTTCGCTGAAGTAGAGTCGTTTGCGTGCCTGTTCAGTGACCGTCGATTGTGGACAACCCGCCAAGTTCGTGTGCGAGGGTATTGGTAGGTTTGGGAAGGTCGGTATCACGAAGTCCGTTTGTATCGTCCGTCTCGCCTGGCCCCTGCTTTATTCCTGTTGCCCCTGCGATCTTCATCCCTCGCCCCCGCTTCCCGGTTCGCCCTCGTCATCACCACCCCTCGTCCCTTCACCCTTCTCTGACCCCGCTCCCGGTCCCACCCCGCTCCCGGTCCCAATCCGCAACCTCGTCTCTGTCCCATATTCCGCTCCCGTTCTCCTGTCCCCGCTCGAACGATATTCCCCCGACTCCGTCTCAAACCCCATCCCGTTCCTTTCCGTTACTCCTTGTATCCCGTGCCCCGTTCCACTCCCGCTGTGAAGATGCCCGTCCACCGAACCGCTTCCCCGTCCCACCCTCCAACCAACATCGTCTGACCCAGGTCCGATATCCTCGAACATCCGCATCCTCGTTCTCGTCCTCGTGCCCGTCCTTGTCCTTGTGATTGTGCCCGTATTGTATCCTACCGAGTTGTTCAGGTCTGGTGTTGTAGTTCCCCGGGCTGGTGTTGTACTATAGTAACCCGGTCCGGTATTTCGAAATGTTTTCGTGTGGTGATGTGATTGTATCGTATTGTCTGGGTCTTTGTCTTTGTGTTTATGGGGTATGGTATCATGAGATGTAGTGATGCACAACCGGCTCCCCATCCAGTGGACCATAACCAGAAGGTATCCCTTATTAGAGGTAGTCGAAGTAGAAGTCGAATTGAAAGCCGAACAAAGGGGAACCAAAAACAGGAAAAGGTGAAGCTCGGGGACAGGAGTTCGGCTAGGCGACGGACTGTTTGTAACCTAAACGACGTCAACAGTAAGGTGAAGATGGGGCCGATCAGCTATTCTTGCTCTCATGGGATCATCGAGATGTGCGGGCGGTTGGGACGGTCGAGGTGGAGCTGGGGGAGGAGGGTGGGCTCTCAAGGCAAAAGTCTCCGTCGACGGCGACGAGAGTGTATGACGAAGGGATTGAAGTAGAACAAGAAATTGAGGAAAGAGGAAATGGAAGAAAAGGAAGCAGAACAAGGAGAAAACAGGAGAAAAGAAGGACCAACCGCTCGTATCCAATATCATCGTCCCGCAAATCGCACACATCCCCTTCTTATAAGCACACGGTGTGCATCGGAGAGCGCCTGTATACTGGGTTGCTTTCTATATTATTACCACAAGACCGTGTCGAAATATATGAAAAGAGAAGGATCGATTAATTGTTCAGCCACTGTAGGTCGATAAGGTACAAGGTATGATAGGTGAAGGAAAAAGACGTAAGGAAGAGGAAAAGAAGACGACACGGACCTTGCATTCGATACACGGTTTTCCCGTCCCATAAGGCGTCCCCCGCTTCTTGGCCGTCAAGAGCTTGTTCTCCCCGATCGACCTGTTTTTGGAGGTAGAAGCTTTTCCTGGAGCTGGGGCTGCTACGGTAGAGAGTTTCTACCATGTCGAGATTGAGTCGAACGTCAAGGTGAATCGATATCGGGGCGACAAGTAATTGGTGGGGGAAGATTAGCTGGCCATCAGATCATCACATGGTCGACCGGAGAGGACGAGATGATGTACCTTTTCACACTTTTTGCAGACCATCTTGAGGATGTAGAGAGCTGTGATGAGAGGCTATGGTCTGACTTGTTATGTGTGTTGGAAAGGTATTCATCGTGACTTTCGAGTTCTGAAGAGGTCAAGGTCACAGCAGCTAGCACGCGCTTCCACGCGCTTTCATCATCATCCACCTCGACCTCGTCCCATCATCGACTACAGCAACACAGCTCTTTATAGCTCTCTACATTCATTCGAGGTATCGAAGTAGTACCACATCATCTTGGTGCTGTAGGAGTTCGCGATGGCTCGCCGAAAGACACGAAAACGAAACGACCCAGATTCACGACAAGGCTCTATTGTATCCTCTGTGCCTCACCGTTCCGCACGAGAATGGAATGGCCCACCATCGCCACCTATAGTATCCCTCTACCGGACTCCTTTGTGAATCAACCTGGCGAATCGGCTGCCCTGAACCTTCCCAATCTGATCCTGGATGACCTCGAGAGGTACAGCGTGCACCCTGTTCGGGTCCGGGTCTTGGATCTCCTCGCCGTACTCGCCGAGCAATGTCGCGTACCTCCTGAACATTCCGGACATATGCGCTCGGAGCCTAGCAGCTTCTTCGGGCGAAAGCGGGTCCTTGTCCTGGTCCTTGGGAATGACGTTTGCCCTTGGGGCTTTCCGAGATTGCGCACCAGGTTCAGTTTCGTCATTGTCGTGTTCGTTCTCATTGTCGTTGTCGTTGTCGGAGACATAATCGAGCCCAGGGTTTGGCTCAGCGGAGGACGTGCCTTTCAAAGGCGCAAAGGTGCACTTGCAAGTGTCCCCACCGTCCCGGCGAAAGCAAGCTATACAGGATCGCTTAGGTCCTTGCGCGAGTATGCGAGCGCATGGCCATCTGACCCAGTTCGGCGGAAGGTCAGGGGGATCGACGAGAGATTGACAGGCGAGACACCGGTCCGTCCCGGTCAAGATGACGAGATCGGGATGAACGACCTTGGTCAAGAGCTTCTAATCATGTTTGGTACCGAAGCATGACATAGCATAACCTAAGGATCAGCGATCCGACCGACTTGAAGCAGACCAGATCTCAGTCACAGGAAGCGACGCCGAGACCGAGACTCACCTTCTTCTGTTTCATGCTCAACCGAGCCGTGGGGGAACTCCAATTATAGACGTTCCGAGGGTCGTGATCGATAACCCGGCGTAACATCGTCGTCACGATGTCTTCATCCTCTTTGACCTTTTCCAAGTAGACAAGCCTCGATACGCCCGTAGGAGGCTCGGGGCCGGGATATACGCATACGGCCTCTGCGGCACCCTGGGGTTTCTGTTTCTTCTGGTCAGCCCGTGTGCCTTGTTGGTTCTGCTTCTGATTTTGCCTTTTTCCCCTTCTCACTGAGGGAAACCGGTCGGGGTGGAGAGGAAATGGATCTGAACCGGGTTTCGAGGAGGAACTCGGCTGGGGCTGGGGTTGTTTCGAACCCGATGGCTTGGGTGAAGATGTATACACTAAGCTCAGAGCGGAGGGCGGTGGAGGAAGGGCATCGTCCGCATCGTAGAACGTCTCTGGTGTGATAGAACGCCGGTGATCATGAGATAGACGAGTTGGAGGTGGTCCGAGAGGTGAACTCGGCGGATCCATCATCCCCCTTTCGGAGGTCGTATCCGTGAAACGTTCCCGAGGTGCAGATGCGTCGTCACGACCCGAGATGACCGGAGCAGGACGTAAAGGAGGACTGGTCGGTTATTTCTTGAAACCAGCAGCTGTGTTGTCATAGTCATGGACTGTGAGAAGTCGAGGAGGTGGAGCGTGTTGACGACGGTACGAGGAAGATTGATGGACGTTGCTTCCATCACGACCGACTGGAGAATCGGAAAGTTCTCGTTTCACTCGGACGCTCGATTGTGTCGGGCGATCCATGATAACAGCACTGTAGATCAAGTATAAAGCGAGCCAGGGTGCTATTACAGTCTGGATAGAGAATCGAATTTTCTCAAGATCAAAGACCAAGTGGAGAGGCTCTCGAGGTCAACTCGTGCGTGTAGCAGTCACGTGACTCAAATGTAACTGGGTCAACAAGCTCCCACTCGATCGTATGCATCATGTTTGAAGCATCTCCATGCGCAGAACGGCGTGGAGAGTATGATGTTGAAGGGTGAAGAGGTGAGGTTCAGGTGAGACCAAGCACACTCTGACCGACCGCGTTGCATCGCCTAGACATTTGAGCAGACCACAGCGCCAAAGTGGCCATCGAGCGATTTCATATCGCAAGCGATACCTCCTCCATTGTAATTATGATTACGCCGACTCGTTCGCCTGACCAGGTCTAGGTCTAGGATCGAAACCCTCCATGAACCGTTGTGGGAAATTATGATGCCCCGGTACTTTCTCCATCTCGACCGGTAAAAAGTCTGGGCGAGGGTAAGTCTCGCTGTCGGTCTTTTCCATCGTGATCAGCTGCAATCAAGCCCGGGCAAGTCAGATAAACAGTTTTCTGAGCCGATGAACGATTCAAGTCATGTGAACTTGCCCGTCGACTCCACCGCCCGAAATCCTGCGACGACCCGCTACAGAACTTGATCTCCTTCATCCCCTGTACAACAGGCACGTCCAGATCGTCCCAATCTTCCGTGACCGTCGGCAGGAAGAACACCAGTCGACCACCGGGTACGAGCATCCACCGCCCGAAGAGGACGAGGTCGTACACGAGGTCGGTCATCTCGTAAGGTCTCGAGACGGGTATGTACCCCGGTTGCCTGTTGACGGAAGGTTAGGGGTTAGTTCCACGACGACGTTGGATCGGTGGGAGAGCAGACTCGGGCTTACAGGTGAGAGTAAGTACCGTCCGGCATCAGGACCGGCTCGTCCTTCTGCATCCGGCCGTTCTTTTCGTTTCTTCCCAACCGCTTCGCTCCAGCTCGCACACCATCTACACAGACAAACACGACATGCCCGAAATTCAGCTCAGGCCAGAGCAATCGGCTCGCGAACACAGAAAGATGAAACTTCTGTGCTTACATGGAGGATCAGTAATGATCGCGTCGAATAGCCCGCCCCGCCTCCACCCGTTCCTCGTCACGTCGAACGTCAAGCAATCCAGTATCCGATTCCGTAAGCCGTATTTCGTCGCAGCACGGAAGACACCTGGACCAGATGCGTCTACAAAGCAGATCAAGCAAGTGCAGGTCAGCATTGTGAAGTTACGCAATTTGTGTCATTGAGTGGATCTTAGTGTAGATAACCCCGTGCTCACCCTTCCCACGCATTTGCCTGCCATCGATATCGCTCCCGATGACCATCGATCCCCAGTGCGCACAGGTGTAAAGCAAGCTCCCCGTCCCCGCAAACGGATCGTAGACGGACTTTCCCGCAGAAGACTTTGTGCACAGGGGAGGAAGTCAGCAGACAGGTCGAATCTGGCAGGCAGACCATTCCTCTACCTGAACGGCGAACTCACCAGCGTCTGTCCGGCCATCAGCAAGCTCATCTCGCTCTCCATCGACGTGTTCCCATAAAAGGCTCGTTCCTTGACTTCGAACTTTTTGATCAACAGCCTCGCTGATCCCTCACAGACCTGTAGAACATCGCAAACGCCATGTGTCAGTAATGACGTCGAGTCCCAGCATCTCCGTCCCTTGGACCAGGTTCCCCACGGATGCTAGCCCGTATAGAGAGCATACGTGGCGAGACGTTACGAGACACCCGGCAAGCCAAAAACTCACCAACCTCCCGAAATATATCTGCCTCAAGAACCCCAAATTCCCCCCTCCTACAAACTTGCCCTCTTCGTAATCGATCTGGACGACCTTTTTGTCCTTTTCGCTCGCAAACGGGATGTCCAGACGGGTCTGTTCGAGCTGGCCGGAGAGGAGTTGGGCGCGTTCTTGGGCTTGGGCGTCTTCGTCTAGGTTGCGGAATAGGAGAAGTGAGGGAAGATACCTGGTTAGATCTATCGAACATAGTACTGAATGGTGTGATGATTCGGGCGCGGCTTACATTCCTCGAAATAAGTGTAAAGCACCTCGGGGTCTTTCATCCGGATCGGCGTCGTCATAGCCATATAAGCAAACGATTCTACGATCGTCCTGTCGAGCAACAATCGCACAATAAATCACAAGCACGTCAGTATCTAGTGATCTTTCACCGTAGTCTCAGGCATCGTGGAAAAGAAGAAAAGATAACGACGAAGCTGAGGGTAACGGGATGTATAGGCGATACTGACCTCGTCGCCGACTGAGACCTCCTCTTCCCTATCCGCTGTACATCAAAAGCGAAGGAGCCCTTTTCCTCGTTATCCGGTTTCCATAGGTGAACGTCGTTCCGTTTAGTCTGTTCGAGGTGTTCGTGCAGTTTAGGGAGGGTCGGGGCGTGGTGAAATAGCTGGTGTATTGATCTGCGACATGGGGTTCATACGATGATCAGCAGTGAAAAGGCAAGAGTGTGACAGAGGATTTCGGGTCGGTCAAGATGAAGAACTTTGAACTGACTTGATCATGATACAGCGTTCCCCTAATTGCCGACAATATCGGAGACATCGTTCCAGATCCCGGACCTCTCTGCCATCCTCGTCCGTAAACCCTATTATGACGAACGCGCTCCTCCCCGAATGCACAAACTCCCAAGTCTCCCGTTCCGACACCTCGTCATCCTCTTCTTTGTCGACTTCGTGGTTATTCCATGGGTGGAAGATCTTCAGGCCGAACCCGAATAGCTTGGCTGTCGAGTAGAGGTCGGGAAGTCGGAAAGTAGGATTCGTGAGCGAGAGATTGAGGGTGAAGCGGGGTGCCGTTTTTATCGTGCAGCCAGGCATATCTCAAGCACTGATCCAGGGGCCAGAGCTTCTAGTATCCAGACTAGAGCTTGATCTAGCTTGAGGCTATTGGAGGACGAACACGAGACGGAGCAGGTTTACAAGCTTATAGCTTATGAGCTTATGAGTTGAATCATATCAAGGTTCGGAAAGTCCCAAGTTGACACTCGAATGTCAACGAGGTCACGTGACCAACGCATACCGGCACTCGTGGTGGTATTCCGACCTGGGCAACTTTTAACATGAAACCCGCCCAATGCACACGACCCGATCTCCTGATTAGCAATCTTCAGAGTTCGGTCCCATGACTCAACCTCTGTCTGGCAGAGCGACGAGGTCGAACGACGGAATGCGCTGCTCGGTTTCGCTTTCATTTGAACGCGCAAAGCTGAAACAGATGGCCGCGGGAAAATCGAATCGATAACGGTCAAAGTATGGTCTCCATTCCAGCAACACATCAGAAGGTTTGTAAGACGATCTACAGTCGAAGTCAAGTACACGTCGAGAAGCGCCGTTCCGACTGCATTCGAGAGGGCTTTTGCTCATCTCGCTACGGACGATCTGAAGAACTGCTGAATCCACCTCGCGCTCGCCTTGGGCACACGTTGCTGAGTTTCCGGGTCGACATAGGAGACGCCATAACGACAGGTCCAGCCCATCTTCCACTCCCAATTGCTACAGTTCGATAGTCAAGGTTAGCCGTCGCGCACGGGGAAATCCGCCGAGAAAAACAACAAGCGAGGCGACGCAGTATGGTGTTTTGACACCCTCTGTTACCTGCATCGAATTTGATGCGTCGGACTTACTCCATCAGTGTCCAGGCCATATATCCGCAAACTCTGAGATCGTCCTCTTGAACCGCAGCCGCCAATTCTCCGAGGTACCCCTTGAAGTACGCCACCCTCTCTGCATCTTCCCCACGCCTAGCCTCAGTCTCGTCCAATTCCGCCTCGCCCTTGACGGCGAACCCGTTCTCGGTGATGAACAGCGGAATCCTGCACGGGCGCAGGTATCGATCTTGCACGTAGCGGAGCATCTTGCGAAAGCCCCAAGGCGTATCGAACAGGAAGAAGGGTTGACCGGGATTACCGATCGGTTCGCCGGTGAGAGGATGATGATGCGTGTCATGCGTGTTACCGAACATGTCGTCGAAAGGTCCCGGTTGGTGATCTTTGGCAGGACCCTTCAGAGCCCAAGAGGCGGAGTAGCTGTTCAAACAGAAGCTGTTGTGACGCCGATTCGAGTACGTATCAGCCTAGGCAAGTTCTTCGCCTCAGGCCGGAACCCGACAAAGGGACACTAATGGAAGGATCGAGGTCGACGTACTAGTCGCAAGAGTTCTTGAGCTTCGCCTTGTCGTCCGACGACAACGCCGGAAGACGATCGCCAACAGCTTGCTTGACGCTCTCGGGATAGTCTCCAAAATCTACAGTCATGAGGGTTCGCATGTCTGAACTCCCAATCAGATGTGAACGAAGGAAAGCGATCGACTCACAGATCGGGTCTGCAAACTGCACATTAGCCCATGAAATTTAGCGGGCCAATAGAATGGGGCAAAGAAGGAGCGTGAGCCGAGGCGCGGAAGTGATGACCGAGTTCGCCGGTATGACGGCCGCCGTAGACGTACCACACCAAAGAAGAAGTCGAGTTTGCGCTGAGCCATCTCCTTGGCTTGGTCACTCGAGTCGATGGGCTCGACCCAGTCCGCCGACAAGGTGATACCGATGCGACCCTTCTGGACCGCTTGAAAGACGGTTTTGTAGAGATGCGACACCTCGGCGTGACACCTGATCATGGTGTAGACGCTCCTGAATGGGAAAGACAGTAGGATTTTTCTTGGATCAGGCACCAAAGTGAACGTTCTGATTCCCAGCGAACTCACTTCCATACGTCCGCCTTGGCATCCCAGTTCTTGTATAGACCCATGTTGGCGAAAAAATTGACAGCAATCGGCTGTGAGGGTGACATATCGCTTCAGCTCGTAGTGCTCGCAAGATCAATTGCTCTGAGTTTTTGTGAGTCGACGTCGAGCCGAGCTCATGAGCCTCTTATCAGCCACTTACCTCGTTGATGGTGATCCAATTGGACACGCGGTCGCCGAAGCGTTCGAAGAGGATCCGGGCGTAGGCCGTAAAGTCGGGCACCATCTCGGTATGGTTCCTCCAAGATCCATAGCTGGCATCGAGGGCTTCGGGCGTGTCCCAATGGAAAATGGTCACGATGGGTTCAATGCCGTGGAACAGTAGACGATCGATGAGGTTCGAATAGTACTCGATTCCAGCTTCATTGATGGGGTCGTGACGGGAGCCTGTCGTAAACAGTCGGTCCGATTGCATACGGAGGCTGGTGATGAGCTAGTGGTGAGCTGAAGTGGAAAGCTCTTCTTGACAGACTCACCAGTAGGCATGATTCGCGGCCAACTGATGCTGAAACGATACGCTGTAGCTCCGAGCGCCACAAGAAGCTCGACATCGCGCTCCCACAGTACAAAAGAGCTTCGAGCCTCCCTGCACGTCGATCCATCAAAGATCTGACCTTTGTCACAGTATCGATCCCAGACGGAAGGTCCTTTTCCTCCGGCCTTCGAGCCTCCTTCGATCTGTACGGCGGACGTTGCGAAACCATGTAGGAAGTTCCGGTCAAAGATGACGGGAGACGGGGTGGTTTCGCTTGACGGCATGGCAGTATCGTTAGATCGAACGGTACTGATATGCGACCAAATGTATGGTGCCTTGAGGGCCACGTTTCGCAAGGAGAGATTGCGACTCATATTCATCAACCTTTATCAATGTCGGTGCCAAACCATTTCGGTGCATGGGCTGCTGACCGTACGCGCGGTCGACGAAGCGACGAAGCGACGAAGCGACGAAGCGAGGGCAGGGTGGTGGTGGCGCGCGCTTGAGATGGCCGACGGTGTGGATGGATGGGTCAAGACTTGTCACCTTGTGCGAGGGACAACGGGCAACTGATCGTATACAATCGCACGTATCAACAAACGAAGTCAGCTAACACACCGGATGTTGACCAGAGGAAGGCGCAAGCGATGGTCATGACGAGTCGGCGATCCCCGGTTCTAAGTGGACGGTGGAGATGGTCTGCCTGTACCAGTGATCTGGATTCAGACTGGCCGGACAAGATCGCAACGGACAGTCAGACATCAGCTGGTGTTCGCAGGGCAAGGAAAAGATGTAAAGAGGAACAAAAGGCGAGGAGGGGAACCGCAAAGCGCACAGCACACACGTACTCTCGCTCTACAGCCGGCATTGCGGGAAATCCTCGGTGGAGTAGCATTTGGTTGGCAGCTACGAGCTATATATCGGTGTAGGCGCGAGGAAAGGGTCAGCTCGATCGTTCTCGCTGGAAAGCCCATCTCATTCGCTCACGAGCGGTCCGACCACCGGAAAGTACCTCCGTGTCGCCGCGGCTGATCGAAACGTCGCTTCAAGGTGAATGGCCAGTGGCAACATTATCTCTTCATCGAAAGCCCGTACCGGCTCGGCGTCGACCCAGGCCATCCGTCTCTCAATGCTTTCGACCGCGAGGAGAGGAAAGTCGACGTCCTCAAAGGCGAAACCAAGCGAAGCGAGCGCACCGCGACGGGCGGGCTCCGAGATGGCCACGCAATGGTCCAGACAGCGCTGGCGGGCGTGAGCTAGCCAGGTATCGGGCGCTACGGCGATCATCGCTCGAGGTAGCGCTACCGACAGGTGTCCTCCGAGGCCGGCGGATGGCAAGACGATGCCCAGCAAGCATGCGCAAGCTTCGTGAAACCACGCTTCGAGCATGAGAAGGAGCATGTTCAACGTCGGTTCCGACGTCGAACGACTCGTCTCCAGGCTCATGCACAGGGTAAGACTCGCGGGAAGTCGTCGGGACCACTCGGAGAGTTCTCGCTCGAGCGCTTGAAACTGGGAGTATGCCAACCAGGGCGGATGGCTCGCTCTTGGACAGCCGACTACATACCTGAGAAGGAAATCGGACCAGATGGCAAGGATTCCCTGATCAATCTATGGAACCTTGCTATCGTGAGCGAGGGAGAGAGTCAAAGGGATCTGCTTACTGTACAACGCGGGTCCTGATCCACATTAGATGGATATAAGCGCTCCGAGGATTATGCCTATCCATCGCCCCGTTTGTGGTCTGATCAGCGAGGTCCCTGTCAAACATCTCGAGGCTGGGCATGTCGCTCGGTTCACCGGACAGGAATGACGAATCTTCCGCGGGTAGACGGACGGTGATCAAGCCCGGACGCAGAGCGAGGTCCTCGAGCCGACCTTGACAGGTGATCCAGTCGAAAAATTGGCAGGCCCAGACGATCCGTCTCTTCTTCTCCCTCCTAATCTCTATCTGAGCCGGGCGTTCATCCCATTCAAGCTCCTGCTCGGTTGTACCTGTTCCCCTTGGGCTTGGTATCTCCCCCTCTTGCTCTTCGACATGCAGGTTCATACCTACCGCCATCCTCGCTGCCGTAGATGCCAAGATCCTGACGACCTCGAACTGCGCGTTGGCGACGGCATGATAGAATTGGAGCAAGAGGGAGGCTAAGGCGTCCAGATCGTACTCGTACAACCGGGAGAAGACGAGTCTTTTAGCTTCGTCGGCCCATACCTGAGCTCGGTGGGCCATCGCGATGCCAGTCGAATCGGGATCCGCCGCGCCGTCACCCGAGGAGCTATTCGTCTTGCCAGAGGTAGACGACAAGAACCTCGTCGACGCCGCACACATGGCCAACGCGAGCGAACGAGAAAGCCTCCCTTCCGACATCGCTTCCCGCACAGAAGGTTCGTGGAGGAACCCATAACACCCCGTGGTGTGGACGTGTTCGAAGTAGACATCGACGTGCCGAGCCAGGTAGGCATCGTCTTCCAACATCGCCAGGCTGAAGATTCGGGAAGTATGGGAGACGCGGTTGACAATGTAACGTGTAAGTAATAGAGAAACGACGGGGGAAAGATGAAGAAAGTCCTTCTTCTCCGTTTTACTGTAGGAACAAGGAGAGGGTTGGAGGAGATCGTATGGTATGGCTCACATGCGTGCGTCTTCGTTCATCCCGAAACGATCCTGATCTCTGACAACCCCGACTACAGCCCTGCGACTTTCATCCTGATGTTCATAGCCCAGCCCATCCGCCCTCATACGTGCGGCTCCGGAAACATCATCCCGCCGAAAATAATCATGCTCAACCTGGAAGTCCACGTTCGAATCCGAGTTCGAGTTCGAGTTCGAGTTCAAGATCGAGGTCGAGGTCGAGTTCGAGGTCGAGTCCAGGTTCGATCCAGTAACATCTGAATCCGGGTATTGACAGACGGTCTTCTTCTCTAGACATCGGACGCAGGACGGTCGGTCTTGAGAACATCTGACTCGGTCATTTAGGGGTTAGGGGTTAGGGGTTAGGGGTTAGGGGTTAGGGGTTAGGGGTTAGGGGTTAGGGGTTAGGGGTTAGGGGTTAGG